CCCTTGTGTCACTCTTCATTGAATTGAATTGTCTTTTAACACTAGGGAAGCTTTACATGAAATTCAAACCTCAAAGTACAGTCCTAGTATATTACCTGAAGTTACTATTCTGTAATAATTGCTGTGAAGAAAGGTAAGATTATATACCAAATCACATCATGTAGTAGCCCTTTACAGTTTACTACATAGGTGGCTGCAGTACTTAGTAATACACAGTATCACAACACAGTTCATTACAAAACACAAAAGCAATTGAAATTACTGAAAAAAAAATTGTCTGAACAGCAGTCATCTAACATATGGTTGTGAAGTTGTTACTCTAGCAAAACATTATAGAATCATAAAATCACAGACTGGTTTGTGTTGGAAGGGACCTTAAAGCTTACCCAGTTCCAACCCCTGCCACGGGCAGGGACACCTTCCGCTAGCACAGCTTGCTCCAAGCCCCTGTGTCCAACCTGGCCTTGAATACTGCCAGGGATGGGGCAGCCACAGCTTTTCTGTTTTAATGCCTCACCACCTTCACAGGGAAGCTATTCACTGGTTCATCTTTAGCCATAGGACTTGACTGTAATACTGGTTTCAGCTCCTACTGAAAAGTTTTAAAGGCAGTCCTCACATAGTAAGAATACTTTTGGTCACTGTGCCATGGTTTGATTCCCAGTGTGGGGGTTCAAACCCTACTCCAGGGTTTGTGTCTCAGGGCAAGCATGGACTATGTTTACTCTCTGAAGAGGTAGAGAACAGTAGTGTGTACCTGTGTAAAAGGAGAAGGCAGAGGGCAGAGCTTCACACGCTTGAAGGTGCTGCTGTTTTGTTCTGTGTTGAAGTCATACAGGTGGCGATGGTGCAGGGCCCAGTTGTGATGAAGCAGGCTGGTGCTGGCTCACAGGCCAAGGACCCTCCTCTGTGCTGCCTGGCATGTCTACTTCATTAGAGCAGGAATGCTGAGCTCTTATCTCTTAACCGGTGAGGCTTCATCCTCCTGGCCAGCTGCTGTTAAACATGGCAGACCCTATCAGGCCGTGAGGTGACTGCGACTGAACATAGCAGAGCCCCTCAGTCTGTGAGGTGACTGCGATTGAACATGGCAGACCCTATCAGGCCGTGAGGTGACTGCGACTGAGCATAGCAGAGCCCCTCAGTCTGTGAGGTGACTGCGACTGAACATGGCAGAGCCCCTCAGTCTGTGAGGTGATTGTGCTTCTATAGCTTCTGGGCTGTGTGGGAGCAGGTTGAGAGTACATTCTATGAGCCTTTCCTGACGCAGCCGCGCGAAGCCTGGCTCCCAGCGCAGAGTCCGCAGCCGGACGGAGAGCCGGCGGAGGGGTTCGCTCCCGGTACACAGCTCCCGGGACTACAGTTCCCGGCAGGCGCTGCCGCGGCGGCGCATGAGTGGCTGACGGGCCGGGGCGGGTGTGCGGCGGCCGTGTGGCGGGATGTGCGCGCGGAGCTCCCGCCGCTACTCCCGCGCGGGCCGAAGCCGCGTCCCCGTACGCTGGAGGGGTGAGGCCTGCGGCTGGGCGTCCGCATGGAGCTGAGCGGCGCAGAGGCGGCCTCCACACGGTTCCTCGGCCTCACTCAGCGGTAACCGGAGCGGTGGGGGAGGTCGGGGCCCGAGCTCGGTTGCGGCGCGATGCGGTGCGGGCCCCCGCTGTCGATGGCGTAAAGGCGGCGCTGGGCCGGTGGCACTGAGGTAGCGGAGCAGCGGGAACCCCGGCTCCCCTCAGGGGCTGCCGCAGGTGGCGTGGGCGGGGCCAGACGGGCGCCCTCAGGGGCTTGTTCAGCATTAGCGCTGCTGAAGGAGGGGGAGCGGCGGTTGCCTCATGGCTCCCACCCGCGACTGTCCCCGTGACAGTCACAGAATGGTTGGGTTCCGAAGGAACCTTAAAGCTCCTCCAGCTCCAACCCCTGCCATGGGCAGGGGCACCTTCCACTGGAGCAGCTTGCTCCAAGCCCCTGTGTCCAACCTGGCCTTGAACACTGGCAGGGATGGGGCAGCCACAGCTTCTCTGGGCACCCTGTGCCAGCGCCTCAGCAACCTCACAGGGTAGAGCTTCTAATAGCTAACCTAAATCTACCTTCTGTCAGCTTGAATCTATTTCCCCTTGTGCTGTTGCTACATGAATAAAGGTTTGTCTGTATTGAAACACTTTGCAATATAAGTAAATTATAAATTACTACACCAAACTAATATGAGTCACTGGTAAACCTAAGTATTTCAGTGCTGGTGGTGGTTCTTAATAGGATGAAAACGGGTTTAAAACTGGCATAACTGGAGCAACAGTGTTTTCTGATGTAAATCAGGTTGGGACTGAGGAAGGATGTAATCCAATGAAGAAAATAAGAAAAGTCAGTATTAATGACACCATATTTCTTTAAATTAAATGATGTGATATGTCAGAGAATTGATTGAGTGCAACTGTTGGTGGTAGCAGAACAGAGAGCAAAAGAGATGTGCAGGCTAGAATTCATTGGGGAATATGGGCAGTAATGCAAGTAGCCTGATAATGTAAATCATGCCTATGCATAAAGAGATGCTAAGATGCTTAACTTTCATGAGGTTCTCTGTGTAGCATTTATGTTGGCGTGTGGTTTTGCTGTAAGTGCTTGATGTGAAGCAGATGACAAGTATGATACAAAGCAGAAGTGTGACATGAAGTAGGTTGAGAAGAAGCAGAGGTGAGCTATTTGGTATAATTCCAATTTTTAAAAGGACTGCTGTTGTATTTGAAAGTTTGGTATGTTTTAGGTACTTTGAATTGGCACACAAATGGATAAGAATATTAATATTAAACCATTATTGTTTTAGTGAACAGTTTCCTGCTTTTTAAACAGTTTGGGCAGTGTTGGAAAAATACTAATGGCTGTCATGTCATGTTCTCCTTTAACTTGGTAGCCCATATTATGTTACATTACCGTATTCATATGTTGTACACCTATATCTGTTTCTTAGTTATACAAATTTGGTTTTGAGTACTCTCCAGATTTTATTTTTTAAAGCTTTTTGTTAGCTACTGATTTTGTCATCCCTGCAGCATTAGTATGCTCAGATCTCAGTATGCTTTTCCTGATGGAGTTTGACTTTCAGCTGAAATGTCACCAAGTTAAGGTACAGGACTTAGTTTGTGTTTATGCAGTAATTTAAAATGCTTTTGGAACTCACTGGGTTTATCATGCAGGTGTTTCATAAGATGGCATTTTCCTCTGGTTTCATGCATTTTGAGGTTTTTCCTCAAACCAAAAGTAGTTCAGTTTTGTAAACCTTAGCTTCCTTTTCTCCTGCTTTGTGGAGCCATCACATGACTGATTAAAGTTATCCAGGCAGAGATGGTTCTGTTCACAGCACAGTAGGCCAGATGCTCTTTGTGGTGACTTTCTAACTTGTTTTATGTTTGTGTGTGGAGCTGTCCAGATACAGACACACAGGACAGTGACCTGGCTTTCCCAAGGCATGAGGAGATTTGTTGTGCTAGTGACTGTTGTTGGATTATTAAATTTTGATTTTTTTTTTCTTTCACACTCCTTAAATTGTCATCTTACATACATTTCTTCATTTGATCAAAGGCTGAATTTCAGACATCAGCAGCAGCAATATCTCTCGACTGCTGTTTCCATAGCATTCTGCCACCAGTACTGAGGGTGACAAGTGTTCATTGATTGGAATTGCTTATACAGTGGTTTCTAAGGTGACTAGCACACCTACCCATAAAAATGAATTTTGTAGAACAGAAGTAGCACATAGAAAAAAAGCTGGCACTACCACGATTACTTGATTTTCCTGTAAGAGTTAAAAAAGAATAGAAAACCTACAATGCCACAACTGTGCAACACCGTGGCATGATCACATGGTAATGTTCACTCCAAGGCCCAGCAGCAGTTGTGGCTGGTGTATGGAAGTATTGGACATGAAGTCCTCATGGTGTGTGTGATCACTTAAGATTTGAATCTGCTTCTGGATGCTCAGACTTCCTGACTTCAGAACAGTTTCTTCCATTGGTCTCTGTTAAGGTTGTTTAATCCAATTGATAAGGCTCTGAAAATCCTCAGTGTCATAAATGTGAAAAGACTGACAGAGATGTGCTGCCACAAACTTTGCAAATTCCATCTTTGGGGCATGTTTTTCAGGGAGCAACCTGAAGTAGCCTTACTCATGGGAACTGCCTGGTCATTTTTAATTTATGTATCTCTAAGTTTTTAATCCTGTTTCTTTTATAATTTTGTTTCTGTTAAATTGTTTCTGTTAAATTTGCATCTGAGTCTTTATTTAGCTTGTAGTTGTAACACATATATGCCCATTGCAAAGGCAGAAGGCTTAGTGTTTATAGTTAGAGGAGGTGTTTGCTATCTGTTTTGACCTCATGAAGTGATGTGCTTTATGTTATGTGAAGGTATGAGATTATATGTGACAATGCATGTAGATTTTGAACTTCACATGGTAGGATTACTTTTACTTGCTGACAATTTTATCTTTGTTAAGGTTGGTGGGGGAAACCTATGAAATGCTTTTCTTATGCTTTTGAATTAAAATAGTTGTGTACTTAATATTTGTGTGTAGTCAAAAAAAAAACAACCCTCTTAAAAAAACCAGTAGCAAGGTACTAAGCATGGGGTTATTGAGCACAGTGCAGTTGTCCTGTTTTAGGCATTAAGTTTATTATAGGTTCTGCTTCCCTTAGATTAAATGCAGATTTCAAATGTGGTTATAAGCCACCATCTGCTTTGGAACTCTGATCAAATTATGACTAAATATTGAATTTAATCTTGGCTTTTTCCTCCAGTCAGGACAGACATTTCTTTTCTTTTGGGGATAATATGAAAGCCAGACTGCAATAGCTGCTGGAGGTTGTGCACATTGTAAGGAGTGCTCCCTGCAATAATGAGTTTATGCACTGCAAACCTTGTTCTGCAGGAATGATATTTGTTAGTGGCAGGGTATAGCGTTGCAGGAGATGGAAGGCAAGTTGCTTGTGTACACTGATGAACTGTTTCTATTCCAGCTCTGTCTCTGAAGATCTGGGTTGCAGACGTGGAGAGTTTAGCAGAAAGCATTACGGATCTGTGGAGCTTGTAAGTTTATACAGCTTGTCCTTTGATTTTAGCAGCTTATAATGCAGAGCTCAGATCCTTTCCATTTCCAGGTAAAAAAATTGGCTCTAGTTCAGAAAAATGTGCTTTCTAAGCTGAACTTGAAAGTTAGAGGGTAATAAAAGGAAGCTTCAGTATAGATATATTGACCTGCGCTAGGAAATCTTTTTACTACCTTGTTCATGAATATTTCATCATAATGGGACAGGAAGCATTATATAAATATTGTGCTTACCTCCATATTGAGCTTTTTTCCTGTTATGAGACAAAGATGGCAAAATATTAGGCTAGTATTTTATGAAGTACTTGCAATTACATGGGTTAAAAACTGTGCATGCTTGTGCGTGTACTTACGGATATATGTGATTTTATGTGTATGTGCCTTAGAACAGTGGGAAAAGGTTTAAAATTAAAAGTAAGTATTCAGAATAAGGATATGGAGAGCTGGTCCCTAGAATCTATCACTTATTCTATATTTTCTTCAAATTTAAAGATTAAGTTGGCCCTTCATTTTTTTAATATCTAAATTTCTCCTCTAATGTGAAAGTAGCAGTATATCAGCAGTTAAAATAATGTCACTCTAATGAAGCTAGACAAGGCTCTAATGAAAATACATAAACTCACTGTAGGAAAACAGGACTGGGGAGAGGTAAAGAAGCTAAACTCCAGCTGTCTTACCTGATTAGAGTTTTAATTGAGTCATGCCAAATCTGTAGTCAAATTGGTAATAGTGGTGCTGATCCCTTCTGTGGGTAGTCATCTGGTGCTTGGGAGAAGAAGAAATTCTGGTAAGCTTTGACTGCTGATCATATGGCTATTTTTGGAACTAGAACCTCTATCTTAAACTCTCTTATAGCTCATATCTAGCGATGCTGATGGAGCCATTCAAAGAGCTGGACGGTTCCGTGTGGAAAATGGCTCCTCTGGTGAGGTAAGTGGTTAAAGATACTTACAGAAAGCTGAAAAAATGGTTCACCTTCAGCATTTGATGTAACATTCTCCCAATTCTATTTCAGAATACAGACTACACTCCTGGCACATGGCACAGAACGGATGTGCATTTGGAAAACCCAGAGTATCATACAAGATGGTATTTCAAATATTTTTTAGGGAAAGGTAATTATTTTTTCGTGAATGGATTTAAGTTTTGATCAATGAAAACGCAATGTAGCTTTTAATTGCTATTACTTAAATATGGGGAAAAAAGTATATTATTAAATTGGTATCCATTTTCCATGCTGTACAGAAAACAATTTCTTGTTTCACATATTTTTAACATCAAGATAGAGGGTTTCTGGAAATGGCAGAATCCCTGTTACCAAAAAGGGATGTTTTGAAACTGTTGGCCTTTAAAGTGGTACATATCTCTTAGGGTTTTTATACATCTCTATATAAATACATAGTTACTTAGGTAGATGAGTATATATTTTTACATCTGAATACATATATTTACACATCTGTACACATGTCTGTGTGTGCAAACGGGTGTGTGTGTCTTCTTTATGGTTGATAATGCTTCTTGGTTTTCCCTAACAGTTCATCAAAATTACGTAGGTACAGATGCAGAGAAGAACCCTTTCTTTCTGTCTGTTGTACTGTCTGACCAAAATAATCAGCGTGTTCCTCAATACCATGCAATACTTTGGAGAAAAACTGTGAGAAACCAATATTTAACTGTTGCTCTGGCTTTATATTGGTTTGCTTGTTTGTTTTGGATACATTTATCATGCACTTTCTGCTTTCTTCAGAATTTCAGTATTTATGACATATTTTTTGTTTATATGAAAAATTCTACCATAGTAGATTAAACTAGTTTTGTAGATAGCATTATACTAAAATTTCTGACAGAAATCTGTAATGTCAGATTTTTTTTAATTGTTCTTACCTTCAACTCTGTTATTTTTAGAAATGTTGCCTAACTTGTTCTTGATTATGTCCTGTGATCAATTTAGGCAATAACTTTATACTGCTTTTAGGATTTTCTTATGCAATGTTAAGAAAGTAGGCAGGTGTGATACTTGTTTAATTAAATATGTTTCTACTTAACATTCCATAAGAGCCCTTTATCCAAGCAATTGATTTCAAAATTATGCTGTACGTATGCATGGTTCATAGTTTGTAATGTTTTCTAGTTTCAGCAGTCCTTATACTTAGTTCTGAGTACCTTGGCATGTGGTAAAAAGTAATTTTGCACAGTCCATGGCTTTTTACATTCAGTTTGTGGCTTTTTGTTTGCTTGTTTTTCCAAACTAGTAAGTAAAATGAGCACAGTTTTGGTGTTTTTTTTTTTTTTTACTTAATTGTTTTATTAATATTCCTATTTAAATATACAGAACAAGTCACTATGTCTTGTAGTAGCTCCCAGTTTTTTTTTTCTTTATAGGGTACTCAGAAAATATGTCTCCCTTATAGTCCCACAAAAACATTATCAGTGAAATCTATATTAAGGTATGTATTTACAAAAAAGTTACCAGTAAAGATATTTGTCTGTATGCCTTTTCCTGTAATTCAGAGTTTTGTGTTGTATGGTTTTCATGGTAGATTTATAAAATCAGTAAAAAAACAGGCTTACAAATCTTAGTCATTAAGGCAGCAAAAAGTGGTTTTAAAGCCTGTTTTGGAATAAAGTGACAACTTAAACCAGAAAAATTCTTAGCACTATTTTCAACAGACTATTTTCAAGTTAATTGGAAATCAGGTACTAAGTGGAACTGCAGTGGGTGTGAGGATATACCTTTTTAAATTAAATAGGCAATTAACACACCTAAGGAACCACAGATTTTGACTAGAGAGGTGGTGGTGATGTGACCCTAACAGGAGGAAGCAAACAGGGAAAAAAAGAATAAATATTTCTTCAGTTGATTTTTCTCCATGTAAGTCTTGCTATGGGTGTGTTATACACAGTGAAACCAAAAAAATTCCTTCTCATGGTCAGTGTGTATGAGCATGCTTGCAGTCTGTCCTGCCTATTTTGCGGCAGAAGAGAATATAAAGTGAGCAAGCTTGACACCAGTACTAAGAGGATCTTTGAACAATTCCTTTTGTAACCAGTTCTGACTGCAACCAGTGAGTGGTTTAATGTTGAAATGCATACTTGTCTTTCTCTAAAGCAGTATTTCATTTGCATTTCAGTGCTATGAGTCTTGACAAATTTGAGAGGAGCCCAAGGGAAATCTTTCATCCTGAGATACAAAAGGTAGGAGGTAACTACTTTTTTCTTTTTTTTGGTTGGTTCTTTTTCTTAATTATTTTCTGGAAAAATAAGTCATTAACTGTAAATGCTACTGGTTTGTTTCAGTAGCAGGATAAGAATGATGAGTAAAGTTACATGATATTATAAACTGTCTTTATCAGCTGAACTAGACACTTCAAAACAAAACTTAAGTATACAAGGATGTTACTTTTTAATTTGTGTTCTCTTTAATACCAATGTGCTAAAGATACTGTTTTGTTTACAGGACTTACTGGTTCTTGAAGAGCAAGAGGTAAATATAAACTTACCACTCATGGTTCATGACCTATTCAACAAAAACAGCTTTCTGTTTAAACTGTATGCACTGACACGCTTGTGACAACTTAGAAATCAATTGCTATTGCAGTAAAAAAATACACTATTTCTTTGCAACATAAGATCAAAAATAATTTTAAGCTCCAACTTAAGAGATCGTAACTAAAACACCAACTTGGTATATCATAAAATTAATAATCTATGATCAAAGATAAATTACTCAATTTCTGCTACTTCAGCGTGGAGTTGGAATGAATTGTATATTCACATGTATACAAAGGTATGTATATAGAAGTCCTTAGAGAAAACATGATTTTTTATCTTTTGGTTTCCTATTTATCATGCAATATTTGGTGTTATTTTTCAGGGATCTGTAAATTTTAAATTTGGAATCCTTTATGCTAAGGATGGGCAGCTTACAGATGATGAAATGTTCAGCAACGGTGAGCTTTCTTCTTTTACCTTTTTAGTAGTTGTTCTATTAACCTGAATATTCCTGTATCTTATTTTTTATAGCTGTTCTATTACAGTGTGTGCTTTTCTGTTGTAACATTTCTCCCTTCCACGTCTAGAAATGGGAAGTGAAAGCTTTCAAAGATTTTTGCATCTCTTGGGTGACACAGTTACTTTGAAAGGCTGGACAGGCTACAGAGGAGGACTGGACACTAAAAGTAAGAACTCATCTGAAGCAAAAATGTCAGGGGGGCTGCAGTATAAATGCTTTTGTTTATTGCATGTACATATTGTATACATTACAGAAATATGTGGATGCTAAATGCTTTGCTTCACCAGGAAAAAGTCAGGTTAGCTTTAATCACTCGTATGGAATGCAGTTGAAGAAAAGTGTTTATAGGACCTGTGTTTTCAGGGTGAATGGTTTCGTTTTATATTGGAATCAGGTGAAGAATACCTGACATGTTACTTGTTTCATGATAGTAAAGCAGCATAGATTAAGTGAAGGACATCATAGGTTTTAAGTGTGTGTGTGAATGTGCAGATCAAGTTGCAAACTTGGGTTTGGACCCCTGTTGAACATGCAGTGTGAACATTTTCTAGAATGGATCAGAAAAAACAATTACTAAAGAAGGTTTGGTAGAAGGACCTGAAATACCTTTTGATCTTTAGAAAACTTAAAGTTCATATCCCTTCTGAGAATGTTTTCCCTTGCAGATGATACAACAGGAATCTTTTCCATCTATACGGTTTTTCAAGGACATGAAATCATGTTCCATGTTTCAACCATGCTACCATATTCTAGAGAGAACAAACAGCAGGTATGTGCTTCTCTCTTTGTTTTCTTCTTTTTTTTTTTCTTTTTAAATCACAAACTCCAAAACTTCAGAAGAAAATAAGGGAATTCTTGCCTATTAATACTTCAGAAATTTAAGCCTTAAGGCTTCTGCTATATTTTTTTCTTCAATATTATAACAGTAATTATAATGCTGAAAATGTAATGATGTTTGTTAGAAGATAATGCATCATATCAACTCTATTAAGGTACAAAAGACAGTTGTGAAGAAGGTCAGAATTGACTGTGTGAGAAGTGATTGAGTAATCTGTTATTCGGATGACCTGTGGAGCTTCACTGCTGGAATTATCATTACCTCAAAGAATTTAGGAAGGCTGGGAATTAGAGTTGTGTGTGAGTTGTCAGATTACATACGTAACACACAACTCATACTCAGGTAGCAATTCCTGTAGCTTGAAAGAAATTCCACGTGTGGGCATGTTAATGGTAAGCTTTGTGCGTTTACTCTAAACCACTGCTGCTGCCCTTTCATAGATTGATTAGGTGAGTTCTTGGGTGCTTTTTCAAATGTGCCATTGTCCATTGCTTGAACCTTTCTATGTATTATATGATGGCAAAAAATACTTCATAAGCACATGCATTTACCTCTGCATCACACATCCATAATGATTTACCTAAAATTACTCATAATTAATTGCTTTACTATTTTGTTACTTAAACTATAGTTATATATTATGTATTATATAATTAGATTATATTGTTGGTTTTTTATTTCCATGCCAGTTTTCTCAGACAGGATCACAGCAAAAACCAGAAGCCAATCAGGATATTAATCATTTTTAAACAGTAACTGAGCATCAGGGTGTTTTCCTTTGTTTCAAGTGGTGGATTTGCTTATTTGAGATATGGGGTGTTCTGTGCCCCATCTGTGAATATTAAATGTGGAAATTATGGAAAATATCAGTGTTTTGTGAATTTAATACGCAATAGCTGCTGTTTTAGCAGCTGGCACAGCTATAATTTATGCTGGCTTCAGACATAATTTTCATATCACAGTTATTCCGTCTGCAGTTTAGGAACATTGTTTTACTATTCTCTCACAGAACTGTTAAGGTATTTAGATATGTTTTTTAATTCATTATGTCTGTTTCTCCTCCCTACCCCCTTCATTTTTTATTTTTCCTTTTTTTTTTTCTTTTATATTTTTTTTTTCTCCAGGTAGAAAGGAAGCGACACATTGGGAATGACATTGTCACTATCGTCTTTCAGGAAGGCGAAGAGTCTTCTCCAGCATTCAAGCCATCCATGATTCGCTCTCATTTTACACGTATCTTTTTCCTTATGTTTTCTAGTGACTTATTTATCTATTTATTTATTTATTTATGAGATTTGTATTACTTTTAATTCTACCCAAAGTCCCTCCTGCATGCTGGTTATGGGAGTGAAAGCTATTTTAGAAAGACAGATGCATTCTTGCATTCTTTATCTTCAGCTGCTTGACTAGGATCCTGAGTCTGCCTCAGGACTCCATGTTATTGTTAGGTAATTTTAAGTAATCCACAGCTGGTCAGTGGAATTCTGAGTTGCCCAGGTAAAGGCATCCAGCACCAATTTAGATACCCAGCATATCTGACATGGCAGAGATGACACAGGGCCTACAAGAGATCTGTGTCCCTTTTGGAATAGCAACTGGAGACTAGGCAATATATGCTCTTAAGCATCCTAAATTGCACTGGATGCTTACACTGAAATAACTAATTCCCATTATAAGTCTGTTCTGTTGTGCAGTCCCTTGCAGTGCTGATCACAGCTGCTGGCAAAGGTCTCTTCATTCTATCTGGATCAACCCATACAGCCAATGAAGTTAATTCAGACTTATGTTTTCTTTGACAGGGTTTATGAAGACTGAAAACTTACAGGCTGTGTTATAATTTTGTATGGGACCTCCTTTATAAACAGTAGAATGTATATAGTCTAGAATATTTTATATATTTACATCGATTAATATAATTTACCTTTATTAAATCTGTAATCTGTTGCAGGAAAAAAAAGCAGTATTAAAATACATGTGATTCATTAGTACTGGATTAACTTCCTTAACTGCATGGCAGATATTTTTGCCTTAGTGAGATACAATAAGCAGAATGATAGTTACAGGTAGGTGCTGATTATAAACCACAACAGTAACAAATAACTTCACACTGAATTTCTAGTGGTTTAGAGATAAAGGAAAAACATTTTGTATTGTCTTTGTGGCAGAGGAAGCTAAATGAACTTCAGAAATTAGAGGGCAATATGGACCTGGATGCGGGTGGCTGTAAACTGGCTCTAAATAGCTGCTTGTTTCCATCAGAAAAATGAAATTCTGAAACAGGCATAAGCTAAGGGTCAGAACAAAACTGCTTTTTAGATGAAATGTAACAAAATGATGGAAGATATGCCTGGAATATTCTGACCTGGTGAGGTCAATGACATGGTGAACTACATGTGTGATGTGATAACTAGATAATTAGATATGATGTGATAGCCATGGACTGCAGATCCTTTTACAGGTCTGGGTTTGGTTGTAGCTAAGCAAACCAGTTAATTTTTAGGATCTTCATAGAGTACTAGTACAGTTGGACACCATATACTTAAAACCTACTGGAATTTTGCTGGTAGACCATGTGGTGTTCACCTGTTTTTCAATTAGCCTTGGGACCCTCACTCTTGGAGGCACATGCTATCCAGGTCTGAGTCTGTTAGGTGTCATCAGAATCTGAAAAGCAAGTATTTCTGCAGCCTTGTGCCTAGGCTTTAATGAGCAAAGTGGCTTTAACCAGATAAGCTCATAGTCAGTAGATGGGCTGTCCATGGTAAACACGCATTTTATACTGCTGTTTATTTGGGAAGGAGTAGCAGCAAATAAGATAAATTTACCTTTCTTGCTGTGAATAACTGACTGCTTTTAGTAGAGGAATCCATCTTACTCCTTAGTTGCTTCATTCTGCCAGTCTTGACACATTTTCCCATACTGCATATCACACAAGATCCATGCTGGATTCCTTATGGATCGAAAGAACTCAGCAGGTCCAGCTGGCATGGAAGTCATTCTGACTCTGTTCCTCAGTGAAAATGAATCTGCTATTCCCAAGATACATATTCAGCTGTAGTAAGGCATTATTATTCATAAAGAAACAAATACATCATGTACTTGCTGAGTATACAGGTAAAGAAGAAATCTGTTAGGACTACATGTTTTGTAGGTGAAGAACTGTTTTACAGCTTTTCTTGAAAAGGACTAGATTTTGGTGGTGTCATTAAAAGCACTGTTCTACGGGTAGAACTGCAAAGTTCAGCTTCACTTGTTAGTAACAAACTCCGTATGAGTTTGCGTAAAGGAAGCAGAATTTTGCTCTACTGAATAATTCCAGTGAATGGTTTTTGTTAGACCCATGGGAGTTGTTATCTAAGACATACCCAGATAACAGTTTGCAGTTCTTCTATTTTGAACAGCATCTATAAAAAAGGTGCATTTTGATTGTGACTTTCAATATAAACAAAGATTTGTTCTTTCAATAGGCTGAAAATATTTTCAGAAGAAAGTGTTCCTCTTTTTGGGCCTCCCCTTCCATCCCCACCTGTGTTTACAAATCACCAGGAATTCAGGGATTTTTTGTTAGTGAAATGTAAGTCAGTTTTTCTTTTGCTAAAAAAAAAATACTTCAAATGAATGATGCTTAAAATGTAAATACATTTTCCTAGTATGCTCTTGTTCTGTGTACAGTTGTTTTCAAGTCTGTAGCATCGGTGGGATGTCAGTTCCACCAAACAGTTCCAGTCAGATTAACAAAAAATTTCACTTCTATGCAATTATGCTTCTCGGGCTGCTAGACAGAATCTGAATTTCTCATCTGCAGAATGTGCAGCCATATTTAGCTTTGCATTTTCTTCAAGGACTTGTAGATATATCTGAAGGCATTTGTAATGCTGTTTGATATTTAGGAATAGAAGCTGTTAGGTTGGCAGCCTTGGGAACCTGAAAGTATAGACTTTCCTGAATGCATGCTGCATAGGTGCCTTTCAGCACCTTTAAAAACTTTTCAGTTCTGTTATGATTCAGTTCTGTTATGATCCAGTTCCCGTTTTCATTGACACTGACTTGCCTTGCTAAATCAGCAAGAACAAAATCTTTTGGTATCGTGATGATTACAGTTAATGCTTAGCTGACAAGAACTTGACTAATAACTGATTTCACAGATTTAAACTGGTTTAGTAATTAAAATGATCAGCGATTTGTTTTTTTTTTTTGTTTGTTTGTTTTTTGTTCTATTATTAGTTAGGTGATTACTGTAGAATTCTCCTATTGCTGTTTTTCCCTTTTAAACTTAAGGGGTCATTATTCACTAAAAAAAAGGCAACTCTAAATTACTAAGGGTAGAACGGGTATTTTTATGCAGAAGCAAACTAGAGTCAGTGGGAGTTGTCACCCTTCATTTAGGTAATGTATACTCTTTTCCATAATATTTTAGTAATAAATGGGGAAAAAGCCACCTTGGAAACCCCAACATTTTCTCAGAAACGTCAGCGCACTCTGGACATGCTGATCCGCTCTTTATATCAAGACCTGATGCCTGATCTACACAAGGTAAATGTAAGTCGTTTCATCCCTTACGTGCTTTCCTGTTCTCATTAGAAATGCAATGTTCTGTTGCTTTAAAAGACTGTAATCCTAATGAGCACTGAATTGCATACACTGGACTAAACGCCAGTTGTTGTAACTTGTTTTACAGTTACATGGAAGTTGTCAGACAGTCATTTCAAGATAGGACTTTTCATGCATTTTTGTTTATCCAGACACAAGGAGAAGCAGAACAGTGTCATACTTTGTGTAAGCTTGCCTGCAGCAGGCAGGAAATTTAGGCTCTGCAAATACAGACATCAGTCTTGTCACCAAAAAAACTGCACTTACTTGTCCTTTGGTGTGTAAATTTGAATCATTTTTACCCTTGGGTAATAATGAGATAATTTTAGATGATGAAGACATTATTAAGGTGATTTTTAAATAAAAGGAGTTTAGTACTTATAAAATTAACAAGGTGCTATCTTTTCCCCCCCACTGTTTATTTCTCCTGTCTAAATAGATCTGCTTGAACTTTTTTGTCCATATATTCATGTCTGAGGTCTTTCTTATGATTATATAGAATATGACAGTGACAAACAAGTTGGAAAGTAAAGCAGTCAAGGATTGAAAGAATTGTACTATCTGTTCTCTGAAAAGCTCTATAGTTGGATTCATAATTACAGGAAAACATTCAGAAGAAGAAAATTTAAGTGATACCACACTAACTCAAACTAAAACATTATGAAAACTTGTGGTTTAGTTAAAAATGTTTTCTGGTTTAGAACATGCTCAACAGAAGATCCTTCAGTGATGTGTTACCAGAGTCACCAAAATCAACACGGAAGAAAGAGGAAGCCCGGCAAGCAGAGTTTGTCCGACTTGGTCAGGTAGGATCAGTTTAGGACCTATGTTTACAAAGCCTGCATCACTGCTTTTGTTAGAATTTGGTTAGCTTGTATGGGTATGTCAGAATTTAATGCAGTTCTCTGTGGTTGAAATACTTTTGTAGTATTGTGTTATTTGTTTAAGCTATGTTCAGGTAAATATGAATAGAAGTATTTCTCTGTAACACCTGAGGTACACAACATGATTAAAAATACTTGCAAAATACCTAAACTAAAGAAAGTTTGAAAAATCATACCTTAGGATCAAACCTAAAAGGTCTTTCTGTATTTTGTGCAGCAGACGCTTTCTGCCTCCAAGCAGCTCTGTCTTTTTCTGTGCGTTGGAGAAGCATAAAGTTTCATGGATTTCCTCTATGTATTTTATTAAGGTTGAATTTCTTAGAAATTATTTGCTCTACTTCAGCCAGGAAGAAGTTTCAACAGTCTTTTTGCTAAGTCAGAGGTTACCACACAGCTTTGAACATACCTGATGCTGGCTCCAGTCTTCCATGGGCTTACTGACATTTTAACTCAGTGAGGAGTGAAATTTCATGATGATTTAGTCTTGTTTAATCTGATGGTTCATTGCAGCAGAAAGAAAGTGTCTACTCTCATCAGTTCCTCTGGCCTTTCCCACTTGTCTCTTCTTGATCCTGGACTGATGACATGATTCTGCTGCTCATCTTAAGGATACTCAGCAGGAGTTAACAGAACAGGAAACAAAACAAACAAAAAACCCCCACACCATCACCAAAACCCAGGCCTCCTCCTTTCCCTCCCATTTTTGGAATCTGAGTTAGTAAGCTAAAGAGTGGAAGAATCTGACAAGTTCCAGATCCGGGTAATGGTACCACATGATTGAGAGCTGGTACAAAAGAAATCTCGGTCTACTCTGTGCTTTGCTCACCCTTTCCCAAACTGGTTACTCCTGGCAGGTGTAGGAAAAAAACCTGAATAACTGTAATGTTGAGATAAAAGTAACCAATAATTTATTCCCCAGGTTTACTAATTACTTCACAGAACTTAAAGACAAAAAAAAAACCCCAAACCAAAACCAACCCAAAACCCAACTAACGTGTATTTTGGCTGAGAAGGTATCTAGTATTTCATATACACTTTGTTCGTGATATGCAGAATTCTGTTTCTTTCCCAATTACTTGAAATGTGACAAGAATTTCAAACTGAAGCTACTTTGTGGTCCCAAACTGTCCGTTTTTTACAGTATTTAGCTTGGGTATTGCTGACAGAAACTCAATTTAAATAAAACATCTGTTTGCATTAGGCACTGAAATTGAAAACCGCTGTGAAAGGGGATGCGACAGCTAACTTGGCAACCACAAGCTTTTGTAAAAAGGAGGTGAGTGAACCTGTCTGTCCGAAGAGAGTTATGAAAAGACTAAACACTGTCAAGTATGGCATCGCATACCTGCATCTATATATTTACTTTTGTAATTAGTGCTGTAGCACCAAAGATGATATGTGTAGTGTCAAAGTGATTCTGCAGCCAATACCAAATTAACAAAGGATGAGCCTAGAGGCAGAAGCACTCCCCAAGTTAAAGCAAGTATGGATATTGTTATATCTGAGAATATTTGATGAAAATACCATTTTCCATATGCAGTCAACTTTTAGTTCAAATTCTGCATCAAGTTTAAACCAAAATTCAGTTGTGTTTTTATTTCCTGTAGTCCCAGATTTTGTTCAAGGGCATTAGGGAGTCAGAGGTGCAAACCATGCTCTTCTGCATGCATCTTATCTACAGAAGCTTCAGAAGCACTTCTAGAATCTCAGAGACTTCAGCTAATATTTAAATTGGGGAGGGGCTCTGTACTGGGAGGTAAGTACAGAGAACATCAAGAAAGAACAGTCTGGCAGAAAGTTTTAACTGTACCATGTGCTAGTGACTAAACATCACAAATTGAGCCATAAAATGTAAGCAGATTGCATATGCATGGTGGTAGCTACTTTTTAAGTATATAGTTTTTTGTTTAAGTAAAATACGTTCTGGGTATTTCCAGGGTTGCACTGAGTATCAGCTGCATGTGTTGTAATTCCAGTGTTTCAGGAATGTGTCTTACACTTAACTAGTCTCCAGATGCGACTAAGTACAGAAATCATTTCCTCTGCAAGAAAATTAAGTTTGATATTTCAAATTCAGAAAAATAGACTGCTGTAGATGCTTTTTGGCAGGATACATTTCTATGTTACTACTTGCAACTGTCCATCACATTTTGTGTCTGTATGATCTGTATTTCCTAGTGTACTTAATATGTATCCCTTGTGTTACTTCATAGCCTTGGGAATCTCAGTCTTTCTGCAGTAATTTTCCTCATGAGGTTGTCTGTGCAGATTCTTGGGGCCAGTCCTTGCTGGTTTCTACAGATGCTGGCATCTTGTTAATAGATGGTTAGTAAATGATCCAGTGTTTTTGAGTCAATTTTTATGTATCTATCTGTGCACTTTCTTGAAAATGTATGTTCATAAGCAGTGTTCAGGTGTTGGTCGGTCTTCACCTATGGGGATAGTTCCCAATCCAAGTAAATTTATTGCATTTAAGTAACCTAGTTGCAAAAATTCTCGCTGCACCAAAATCAAGCCATATTTGAGCAGTGTTAATGCAGATTGCTGAATGCTTTGTTATTTCAGATGTTGTTTTCTTGACCATCTGAAAAGACTCATAAAGTCACATCCAAGCTCAAGGAATATTTAAATGGCCTATCTGGATTTCTTAGCCCCTGATAATAGTGAGCATGAAACCAAAGGCTTATGTGACAAAGAAAGCCTGCTTTTTCCACAGTGATGATCTTGCTAGTTTGACCCCTTGTCTTCTGTATGGCACATAAGGCCAGCAGTACCAAAAGAATGATGTTAATTCTTGGTGATAATTCTCAAGCCTTCCATAGGAAGGTCCCTTTTGGGCTTCAGTTGCATAATCTGATCCATATGATGATAAAACTCTCCCATGAGCAAGTGCTGGCTATGATGCTATAGCAGCTTTTTCATTAAAAAAACCCCAACCCTGAGGCTTGCATTACAGGAAATTAAGTAAGTCAGAACCAGTGACAAGCAAATTTTAGCAGTTTTTTGAATACATGTATATGTTTCATTTTTAGACGGTCAGCCATCAGTGCAAGTATTTGATAAAACTCTCCAAGTAAAGCAGATGCATGTGCTGGAAACTCTGGATCTTTTGGTTGCTCGAACAGACAAAGGTAGGAGAGGTGCCTGTTCTTTGATTCTGTTCTCATTTGAATGTGGCTAGTGCTGGCTATGTATGTCTCATGAGCCAGTTGTGTTAGATGCCTCATTTCGAATAGGGGAGCATATACAGCAACTGCTGTTATTTTCTGACAGGCTGGGAGGGAGAATCCCTGAATGCTCATTCATACTTCCTTCAAGGCAAACCTGAAACAGGTCATGTGGTCTTTTGGTCTTCCTTCAGCCACTGTTGGAACTCAACACTCTTTGGAAATCTCTTTGACTGAATTATGTTTATTCAGTTGTGCAAACATGTAGGGGAAATGACTTAATGCTGTTGAAGAAGGCACCGATGCAACAGGTATCAAAGATGCCACAAACTTGTTAGGGAGTTTAGGTTGGCAAAACCTACCAATTGCTAGGCAGCAACCACAGCCATCCATTATAATCTGCACTTTCCAAGAGTTGGCAAAAAGTTGTAAGACTTTCTGAGCAGGTATCTCATAATCCTAAGTAATTGTTACAAAGGTTGACAGGACTAGGACTCAGCTAACAGAAAACTCTCATGATACTCTCTATAAACTCTGTTCGGGAGGTGCTGCTTCTCTTTGGAAGTATTAATTTCAAACTACCATCATAATTTTTTAACTTGCTGTGTCCTGTCTGTCTTCATCCTTCAGGCAAAGACTCTCGTCTCCTTGTCTTCAGACTCAGTGCTGTCCAAAAGGATATAGAAACAAAGCAAATCATAAGAAGCAAATATGACTGCAGAGAAAATAAACTGGAGAGAACAAAAGGTGATTGTTTTCTCTTGTGTTAAAAACATCCACTGTGGTATGATGCTTATAGTTACCAGGGACTTATTAGCTCCTTTGAGGCAGTTGTAGGTGTTCACCTTTATAGTTTTCTCTGGACAGTCAGTTCAAACTTCGTTAAGCTTAGATGTGAAAGTAAGTCTGGTGTAGTCCAACATGACATTTTAGAACTGTATGAAAATAAAATGGTACTTGGCAATCACTGCTGATGGAAAAACTCTATAGAGAAAAATAGACATGTTGCTTTCAGGATTGAGGGACAGGAGAATAATTAGTGAGACTGAATATTTTAAGGTGGAAGAACACTAACAAATCTCCATCAAATAGTGCTTAGATTACTTGGATGTCACCTGTTATATTAGTAGACATAGCCATTTTCTAGTCTTCAGAAGCAAGTTGCCTTGGAAATCTGGAGCCTGCAGAATTCGCCTTTTGTCTTTTTCTAGAAGTTAATGTTATCCTCTTGGGAGGTTTTTAATTGTGTTGCTAAGTCATATATCAGAGCCCTGTTGTACTAATCATTATACAGATAAACAGACCCTACCCCAAAGACTTCTGATCTAGCACATTATTTCCTCAGGCTGCCATTTGTATGCCATTAATACTCACCATGGGAGTGAACTGAGGATTGTCGTGGCTATTCGGAGCAAACTACTTCTCGTCACAAAGAAATACAATCCATGCAACAGTTTAACTAGCAGCTCTCTGCTGTTCTCATCTGAATCTCCAGTAGAGGAGTTCCAGTACATCCGGGTATGTGTGATCTAACCAGTAATTACCTGAACAGACTGGGCAGCCTTTTGGGGGAGGGAAGCCAGAGAACATGGGGTTTATCTTCTGAACCTCCAGACAAACAAAAGTGAGAAGCTGACCGACGGAGCTCCATCACGTGTATGCCAAAGAGATCTTTCACACTTTTTTTTAATGAAGTTTGTGCTTCATATGTCTGTTCTTAATGGACATCCCTTTAAATTCACGGAGTACCTGCAGCACCGACAGCAGGAGCCTGAAAAAAGAGAATAATTCTGTTATTTACATTATAGGAAATATGCCTTTCTGACCCTCCAGTGGTTATGACGCTGGTGGATGGACCTACTGGAGACAGTGACAATATGATCTGTGTAGCGTATCGGCATCAGTTTGACTTAGTTAATGAGAGCACTGGGGAGTCCTATAGACTGCATCACGTTGAAACAAACAAGGTAAGTTTTCAACATTGAGACTGTTTTCTTGCAGAACCACACTGAACATAATTTCTTGCATACTCAGTGCATCCTGTGCTGACCTCCTGGAAGGATAATTTATGGACATCCTCATGTCTCTTCACTTTGTCACCTCTGCTTTAGGGCACTCTTGAGATATTTATTCCTTTTGGAATACATGATAATAATCACTCCCAACAGAGACAGTTAGAGTCTCTCTTTTCATTTGATGGTTCTTGTGAATAGGTTATTTTCAGTTAGGTTATCTCAGTATCCTCTACCTGTTCATTAACCTTTCCCATTATCTTTGCAGGTTAATTTTGTTGCAGCTATTGATGTATATGAAGATGGTGAAGCTGGTTTACTGTTGTGTTACAACTGTAAGTATTTAGGGAAGGTTGAAAATGGTAATTCCTTAATCTGTATATGTAATTCTTTTTTCATTGGAGACTAGATCTATCTTTTTAAGTAAGTTTCATTGTTTCATGGGAAGTTTTTCAATATACATGCTTTTGACTTTAGATGTGTATTAGAGAGACTAAAAATTGAAGCAGTATTTTATTTTAGGGTATGTTGAATGTAGACATACTAGCTGTTAGGTTTTAATTTCAGGAATATGGATGAGTATGTATGTATTTATATATGTTACCACCTTAATCGCAGAAGTCCTGTTTCTTCACATCTAGTTCATTCTTTAAGTAGTTACACACTTCCTAGGTTTTTGCCAGACATGTAAAATTTAGCATTCCACCCCTTCTTCCTCTGTGTGCTACCCCATTCTGTCTTTGTGCTTTTCCTTCAGCATGCCTCTTGGCACTGCTGGTATTATTTCATTGTAATTCTCTGAATCTCCTTTTATGAAACGGGACACAGAATTTGGCAGTGGCTTAAGTTCGTATTTAGAAAAAGACCTATAATACATTTCTGGACATAAACTTTGATTTAGTCTTAAGAACAGCAATTACAAGAAAAATATCCAGTTTTGCCTAAAAATAGAAAAGAGCTGGAAACAGCCTGTATTTGAGAGGGTCATAGATGTTTACCTGGAGCCTCCAGTACACTCGTAGAATCACAGACTGATTTGGGTTGGAAAGAACCTTAAGATCATCTAGTTCTAACCCCCTGCCATAGGCAGAGACATCTCACCATAGACTATGTTGCCCAAGGCTCCGTTCAACCTTGCCTTTAACACCGCCAGGGATGGAGCATCTACCACTTTTTTGGGTAGCGTGTTCCAGTGCCTCACCACCCTCACAGAATATGTGAGTAAAGAAGTAAAGAATGTGACAACTTACTAAAATGTAGGCCTTTCATTTTGATCTTTCAAATGTTTTGTTCACAGAGGAAGCACATTTCCCTTATTTGTTTAGATAAAGGGACCTCTACATAAATGCTTGATGATGCATATAATGCCCGCACGTATGGAAAATATGCCCGTAAGATTGGTGTTTGTCATGTGCAGTGTGATGGATGCTCCTTTTCTCTTTTTATCTTACAGATGTTTGCCAGTACAGAAAGGTACATCCTTTCAATGGAGGTTCTCCACTGATCCAGCCATCAGCTTATGACTTCCATTTCAGCTGGAATCAAGTTCCTTATGCTGTTGGTAAGAAAAGATCTCTTTTTACCAGATGGTTGTTTAGATTTGCACTTGGCTTTTAGTGGAATTAGAGTATGTGTGTTAAGAATAAGCATGCTGCATTCATGATGCCACGTTAGCTAAGTTTCTGCATATGGTAATTTTGAAAAGTGGAGTCTTGGTGCCAAGTTCTTTCTTTGCTGAACTTTTTTTCCTTTCTCTTTTTTTCTGTTTTTCATTTTCCACTCAGTCTGCGTTCTGCCAGGCATGGAGAGTGACGTTTTCTTCAGGCTTGATGTAGCTCAATGTCCATCAGTATGTTAGACAACCCTTTTCATAGGAAAGGGAGATGCCCGAAGAGGTCAGATATCAAGAACAGTTTTGATGGAGCATCCAACAAACATTTCCATTAACCATTTTTCCTTGCCAAATAATTTTTGTTTCATTGCAGTCTGTGCTTTCCCTTATATCCTTGCCTTCACTACTGATTCCATTGAGATCCGATTAGTGGTGAATGGGAACTTAGTCCACACAGCAGTTGTGCCTGAGCTTCAACTTGTAGCATCAAAGGTAAGACACAGGACAACCATGTTTGTCTATTTCTGTGATATGTTGGGATCTAATTCACATCTAAAGTTGCTGCAGCCAAAAACCAACCAACCAAAAACTGTAACATGAGCTACCTGATCTGTGATAACCATTCATCTTCATGCTCTTGGTTTATATCAAGTACAAAGAGAATCAAAATTGATATCACTATCCTTTAATGCTCCCAGTAGTGCAGATCTGAGGTATCTGACCATTTAAGGGGCAGATGCTATCCTCAACATCACAGATATTCCTCACAGCGTACTTTACAGTACACAGATGTACCTTACAGTGGGGTAGCGTTTCTATGACCAACCCTAGTTGACTTGGCAGCATTACAGCAATAGAACACAGTGGACAAACATTTGAGCTCTTACTCAGAAGGTAAAGTCTTGCTGTACTAATGATGAGTTATTTGTCATTTCAGTCAGATATTTATTTTAAAGCTACTGCTGCAGTAAGTGGATCGTGTGACAGCAGTGCTAAGGAAATGAGTTCAAGGAGCTCTCCTCAAACACCGACAGCTTATGAAATGCCAGAAAGTCCTCTTTCTTCTCTAGAAGGTAACATGGTTTCTAAGCAGCTTGAATAACCATCTCTGATCATTCTAACAGCTATCACATCTGATCTTTAGTAAGATGAAATCAGTTAGGTGGAAGATCTTGACTTCCTGGTTGAGAGTCTGGAAGAGAGAGATTTTTCAGTTTCTCCACAGACATAAAGCACCTGGCTGAGCTTTTGCTCCATAGTATCTCAGTTCAGACTGTGTGGGAGCACTGTTGCTAAACTACCACTGGATGGTTAAAGCTCCTTTGAGAACCTAAAGAAGAAGTTCTAGCCTTGAAAGAGTTCACACAGCCAATGTAGTGTAACATGATCTGTGAACAATCAGTCTGTAGGGGAACAACAGCAGAGAAACAAGGGCTCATCAAGTAGGTAATGCAAGAAAGATCTTTGTTATTTGTGTTAAAAAGCACCCAGCACAACAAGTGTAGTAACTTTCTGTTTGGAAGTACTAAGAATCGATTCTGTTGAGAAAATGTCACATTCTTTTTTCCTTTCCTGTTGCAGGTGAAGTTCCAAGCAAAAAGCTGTACAAAATTCCTCTCAGTAACCTGGTCGGGCGAAGCATTGAAAGACCTCTGAAGTCACCTTTGGCTCCCAAGGTCATCACTACTACAACCCCCAGTGGCACTCCCTCTATGCCAGTTACTCACTCCCTATCCTTATCTCGTATGGAAATCAAAGAAATTGCAAGCAGAACACGTAAAGAATTGCTGGGTAAATGCTCCTCATTCTTCAGTGCAGATATCACTTGCTACGTAGAGGATCACTAATCTTTGGGCCATCACAGTCAGATCTGTAACATGCAACCAGCATTTGTAACTAAGTAGCATGAACAAATGAAACTCTGAGAATTTTCAAGTAGTCTAGCCAGCATCTGATCACAGATTATATTCTAAGACAGGTAGAAGCTCTTTAGTTAATAGAAACCAGCAACAGATACTTTTAACATTTTCCTGGATGCTTTTTTTTCTGTTAAGAGTATCTTTTATTCCCTTATTAAGGCCTCTTGGATGAGCCTATACCCAAGACAGAAACTGCACAGAAGCAAAAAAAGGCTCCTCGAAGACAGTCAGACCCCAAGCAGGGAGCAGTAAGATCCACCAGTAGTGACAGGTAAATACTGTTTAGAAAAGAACCTAAGCTGAACTGTGAATGCTTTCAGAATTGATTGTTCAGGCTTGCCTTTGTGTGGTGCTGAGACCTTTGTACACTGATGTGAGTTTCATGTTTGTGTTTGAGAGTATCTGAACACTCTTAAGTATTGAAACAACTCCACTGATTGCTAAAGACATGTTAATGACCAAAGCAGCACTAAATGGGATTTTCTGGGGCCCTGCTGCAGTTGAGCCTGTAATGTGATTTTGATTGCTAGATCTCTGCTGTGCAGGTCACTTGCTGTTTTCTTTGTATGCTCTTGTGTTGCTATTTCTAGAATGTATTTTCCAAAGAAATACCACAGCATTGGTGGGTCTGGCTCTGCTTACCTGACCCCACTGCCATTCTCTTATTTCCACTGGCTTGTAACCTGCATTTGCGTGAGCAGTGACAGAATTCAGCCAAGATACAACAGACTGAAATTAATGAAACAAAATCTGCTGCAATGTAAAATCACGTTTGATTGATTGTGCTATTTGAAAATTATTTGGGCAGGGACTTCATTAACAACTGCCTTTTGGTGATACTGAGCAGAGTAAACCAGAGAAACTCAGTTTTAATGGTCTGTCTGTGTCTTTAAGATAACTTGATTAAATCTAGAAATAGCCACTGATCCTACTTGCCCTGATCTGTGCATTTTAGTGACTTCTGTCTTCCTTTCTGCAGGATAATCTCAAGCTCTTTTGAAAGCTGTTCTGAAGGACGTCATCCTTCCACTAGTTCGGATCCAGATACCTTGGCCAACAGGGAGGAGAGCTCACCATCTAGCTGTCCCTTTCAGCCCATTTCTTTATATGATGAAGACATCATTGACTTGAAGTGAAGACAGTCTTAAAAGCTTTCCTCCTTACTTCACATTTTCTTACAACTCTGTGAGCTCTGTGGGAATGTCACAAACACTGCTTCTAGTGGTGAAATGTGGCTGGAAGTATTGATGATTCATCTTTATAGAACCCATGTTGTTCTGGATAGTTCAGCCTGACTTGGTGATGCTTATATCTTTGACATAGGTATGTTTTGTCTTCTCAGTTAATGAACCATTACTTTTTGTGGAATTCTAACAGTAGGTAATTAATGAGAGATTTAGGCTGAAAATGAATAAAAAGTATTACTTGTTCTGAGCTTCTTGTAATTTGAAGTACCTGAGTGACAAGAGCTAAGTTAATACTGTTATTACTATCTTCAGTTGTTTTACAACAGTGTGTGTCATAAGGGAAGAGGAATTTTACGACATAAATCACTCCTTTTGGTTTTCAAGCCTTTAAAAAACCAAACCAACCAAACCAAAGGCTTGCAGGCAAGGTCTTTCCAACCAGTCAGTCTGTCCTCCAAATGATGGAGCTGTGGTATGTTCAGTGAAGAATCAAGGATGTTCTATAAAGATCAGGTAAGATAAGAAGATGCTGCTTCCTTTGCTCTGGCCTGTCCATGCATATTTTTTAGAGAAACTTGAAAACTGTTTTGGTGTCAAGAGTCCTTGAACTGAGACTTTTTATAGAAAACACAAACTCTCAAAATATTCTTTTAAGAATTGGAAGTGAAAAAACCCCAAAACAACAAAAAAAATACCCAACACCAAGCAAAAAACCCAAACCAAGTGCATTTCTCCATTTCCTGGAACACTGCATTAGCTGTTGTCTGCTCTTGCACCAACAGCGTAAGTCATTATTCCAGGTAACTGCATTTTTCTAACTGGATCCAGATGGAAATTGCACTGCTAAGCAGCTAGTTTTCTATGATGAAACAGTCATCTTAAAGATTTTGTTACATTAAAGGACAGGGTTTCATTTTTAAAGCTTATTATTTTTCAGCCCTTTATGCCAACAATCTTATTTTAAACCGTATTTTGAAAGGGTTTGGGTTTGTTTCGGGGGGGTTTGTTTTTCCATGAAAGAGTGATGCTTCCAGGCTTTTAGTATATATAGAAAGATTTTACCTTTACTAGCAGGTATTTCTTGTTCTATATGTAGAAATACTTCTGTATCCTTGACTTTAATTTATAATACCATTCCTGTGTCATTTCACTTTCTTTCCAAGCATGACCATCTGGAGATGTGTGCCTTTTGCTTCAGTCTGTCTGAATGTAAAACTGTCTTTGCAAAGTATTTTTTTGCCCAGATTATTGTGTATAATGGTTTAATTGCTCCACCTAAGAATATACACAATGCCTTATCTGAAAGGGTCATTTCTTACTCTCGGCTGGAGTGGCTGATAAGGAAAGAAGCAATATTTTAAGCAGTAACTAATCTAGAAGCAGAAACAGTATTAACCAGTGGCTACTATGATTTTAGTGTTCTTGCACCCGTAGATGTATGGGGTGAACCTTAATAAGCATCTAAAAGGAAGTGCTAGCTCCAAGTCTTTACAAGAGCTTATAACTTTGTGTGAGAATGTTATTGCCAGAGACCGTGCCTCATCAGACGCCCAGGAGTTCTGTGCCTCTTGATGTGATGAACTGGCATCCTCAGAACTAGCTTCTAACCACTGTTTCGCTCAAAACATACTGTCTTAAATACATACCATTGACTGCTAATTCCAATTAAAAATGCCAGTGGGTAGTATTGATACATAAGCTCTTGTGCACCATTTATAAAGGGCAAGGTTTTTATGCATCTATGCAACCTCTCCTGCTTCGGACTGGTGTTAGATGACAAGGCTTTCTGGAAGGCTGCTGGTGTGCACAGCTATTGTTGTTGTTCACTCCAGCCTTAGAGCCATGTTGCTTCCCTTCTGCTTTTCCAGCATGTGCATGCATCTGCTCATTAGAACTTAGGAAACAGTGTAGATGGCACAAATTGTAGCCATGTCGACCCTAAACACAACCCTTCCTGCTTTCATCTGTTAAAGCTGCCTTTAGCCTGCATTCTCGATGCTGGCTGACCAGCTCATGGATGGGAGGGCAGATAACCTTTAATTTACAGCTGTGTAAGATGGGTGTTGTTCTAATAGAGAGGAATACTGAAAAATCTTGCTACAGATGGATGGAAGAAATCCTTTCCATAAAGGAAGAACTGTTACCAAGTTGGACACTTGGTGTCAGGCTCATCTGAAGGCCTATTCTGGGCTCTTACAACAGATAAGTTTCTGCAAGAAATGTTTACTATCCCAACATGCTGGATTTGTTGGAGGAGGCAGGGCTCTTAACCTCTTCTGGCTAATGGGATTGTCACCACTTCAGCACTGTGCCTTAGTCTGACTAAACAATAGGAATGTCATTTGCTTTGGTGCAAGCATTACAGGCAGTTTATAGAGTGTACTCGTGCCTCCTTACCAGCATGAGTAGTGACTCATGGAATCACAGAACAGTTGAGGTTAGAAGAGATCCCTGCAAATCATCTAGTCCAGAACCCACACCTGTGCCCCTAGGCTGAATGGATGAATGGGTACCTTCAGTTTCCCAGTTTGCAAGGAACAAGTAGAGCCTGTTTGGATTAGGGATCTGCCCTGCTTTGGGGCTGGGGTTGCTGTTTTCAGTTGGTTTCTTGGGCTGTTGGGGGATGGCTTTGTTTGATGTTTGGGTTTTACTAGGCCAGTCAACTGAATCAATACTTAAACAGTTCTTAATAGAGCAGGACAGTAGCACCCATGGGAAGTGTAACACTGCTTACATAACCAGTTGCACAGGGTCCAGGGTGCTGCTCCTGCCATTTACTTTCTGTTGGTCTGTGTCTCTCTGACCAAGCCACGGATACAAACTCCTGCATGTTTTCCTAAAGGTGTGGGTCTCTAATTTGAGCAGCAGCTTTCCCAGAGCTGTTGGCTTAGTCTGCATTTGAGATACAGTAAAAACCAAATCCAAAGGATTATATATATATACTTGTGTGTATATTTGTAATTTTTACCACAAGTTTTAAGGGATTAAAAGTCCTAAGCATATATGGGAATATCGAGTAATGTGATCTTATCACATCTGCAAGTGATAAGGTATTTGAGAATAATTTTTGTTGCCTTCTCTGTATGAAAATGAGTACCACACTACTGTCATTATTACCAGTTTGATGGCATGGCTCATACACACAATGCTTGCTAATTCGGTCAAAGCAGTGTTATCTCAGATAGGCTTAGCCTGATTTTGTGGGGGGGAATAAACTGTACTAACAGTACAGGAAAGCCCATGTGACAGAATGCAGCAAACATCTGTACTTGCATGCGGGTTAGAAAGTATTTGTACTAGTTGAGCACAGCAGCTTCACCAGCCTGTACACTGCCTACCTGCTTCACTTGCTGCTGACCTGCAGCTGACTCCTGTTTGCCACTGGAAATCATGGCATCAGCACACGAGTTAAAGAGCAAACTTAAGAGATTATTTTCTGCATATTGGTTTCAAGCTCTATTAGGTATTCACCTGGTTGAATGGAAAATGTTGTGTCTCTAAAGGTTTATGCAAACAGTGTTATCAACCTGGAATGTCAGTTTTGACTAAGTCTTTGAATGTCAGCAGACTGCTTTGTGATTTAGTAATTGCCTATTGTTAAGACTGTTGCTACATTTGTGACACAATCTCTTTACCTCCCATTTGTCTTAACTGCTGCTGTATTACCATTGGTTTTAATGTCATGTGACAGCGTGTACAGTTTGTGTTTCCAAATAGAAACAGTCCTATCACAGCTGGAACGGGTTTAAGTGCCATTTATCACCTTTATGAAGGAGTAGCAGATTTATTCCTTCATACAGAATGGATCATAAATTTGACCTCCCTTTTTTTCCACACATGCAGAACTAATGACTATACTGAATTTAATTTATCAGACAAGGCATTAAACAGGCAGGAGGTAGAACTATTGCAGACAGCTCTGCATTGCTGTTTCCATTTGAGTTCTCTAGAAGCTGTGTTTCAGAGATGTCATTCATTTAAGTGCTTTATCATACCTGGGGGATTGGTGTTTGTGTCTTAAGCATTACCCATCCTTGACAAGAACTATAGTCAAGCACTGGTTTGTGTTTCCAGGCATCTTTTAGAATTTCAGAGACCTCCTCCATTTGGAGATCTTTACCCCTTAAATTACAAGTTTTTTCTCCTTTTCTGGCTGAGAGTATATTCTCACTGGCTCCAATATATTGTAACTCCTTTTGAAAAAGAAATGCTCTTTCTTTAATTCTGTAATACATTATTCCTAAGAGCTATACCCCTTCTTGTGATTTTGATGCATTCCTGGCCAGCTTGACAGCAATATGAAAAAGTAAGGTCAACTTAACACTAACACTCATGAAATCCAAGTATTCATCTCTGACTGGGACCAAGACTTATTCCATGGTCAGGCATCCCAGAAAGAGTAGCAGCACCACAAAGGTAAAGTACTGCAGTCTGAACTTAAATGAGCCAGGCTATATAATTCATTCCTTCACTGTAAGCTCTGCCATAAGGGAAAGGTAACGTGCAGCAAGGAAACTAAATCTATTTACTTACAAAATTACATTTTAATTTACATCTCAGAATCAAATAAAAAGAATATGTGCAACACCCACGGAGAGGCTTGGGCACACCCCCAGAGGTAGTGTTTAAAAAAACCAGAATTCATATTTATCAGAATTCATTAAAATGATTTGCTAGCCAGTTCAGTAACTGAGATGTCTGCCATGCGATGCAGCTGCCTTCAACTGCAGCACCGTAACTCATGATATAAAGGTTTCGTATCACTAGAAAAAGCCTTACGCTCAAGATCTTCTGAAGTAGGCCTCGATTTGCTCCAGGGTCTGTCCTTTTGTTTCAGGAACATAAAAGGCTGTAAAAGCTATGTTGAGGCAGCAGAAGGCAGAGAAGAGCCAGAACGTGCCATAGGATGTTAAGAAACCCTGAAGGAGAGACAACAAACCCCACATTATTAAGAGCTCACTACTGTACAACTGCAGTTCTGTATTGCCAGAAAAGACTGGCTCAGGGCTCTCTCAGGAGCATCTTTAAAGGATAATTTCCAATGCTTACTATTAAATCATTGAATTCTTTGGTTACCAGGAAGGCCATAGCCCAGTTTGTTAATACACAAGCACCACTTGATATGCCTCTAGCTTTAAGGGGAAAGATTTCGGATGTCACCAGCCACGGAATAGGACCCCAGCCAAGGGCAAAACCTGCAATTACACACAGAAGAGAATAAATGCATGTTAAATATATATTAAAGGGATGACTGAATGATGCCCAAGTTAGTCAAGCAAGGGGGATGCAATTTTCACTCTAGATTCTTGGATGATTCCAATAACACAGTACCTTTGCCCAAAGGAAAGAGAGCAGATTATTTTAGGGCAGCATGATAAATCCCAGTGCATTTTACAGCAAATTAATGACAAGCATTCTTAACATGAGAGGCTTCCTGCCATGAAGTCACAGATAAGCTTAAAATCCAACCTTGTTTCTTACTGCTGCTGCTTTGTGCCATCACAGAATTCAGTGTGGCTCAGTCACTAATGAGGTCTGTTTTTCCATTAACAGCAAAGCAATTTAACCTGAGCAATCACTACTCACTGTCAGCACAAGGAGGTATAAATTCCTTTCTCAGGGAATTGGCTTAACTAGCTCTTCCCACCATGGTTCTGAATGCTCAGCCCAACTTTGCATTATACCCTGAAAAAGTCTTGCCAAAGACACAACTCATTCCCATTAATCAGTAATGTGGCAAAATGGAACAAAACTCTCACATTCAGCAGCAAGTTTGAGTTTGGTGTAATGGCTACGTAGATGCCTGTTCCACTTACCAGCAACGAAGCAGCCCAGGCTCACCACTGCAAGCCAGGATATGCTGCTTTCTGTTCCTGGCGATGCTGAATTTAGAGCAGCCCATACATCAGGATCTGATGAGTTGTTTGGATTTGGAAGGACCATTTTAAAGTAAAGGCCAAACAATGCAGTACTGAGAGCCATGATTACCCCTGAAAAGTAAGCAATAACCAAGTTGTCACTAGTTACCACCTGGGTATTCTCTGAGAGACAGAACACAGTTCGTCAGCCAAACAGAAGATGTGCTGCCCCTCACAAAGTGTTTCTTAAAAGACACCATCAGCAGAAATGAACACTGGCCTTGACAGGAGTGAAAGGTGCCAGACAAGCATTCTAAACACCAGCCACACAATACAGTTGTCACGGTTTACCTCCAGCCAGCAGCTAAGTACCACACAGCCATCCCCCCTCAATGGGGTGGGGAAGAGAGTCATAAAAAGGTAAAACCCATGGGTTGAGGTAAGAACAGATTAACAATTGAAGTAAAATATACTAGTACTACTGCTACTACTACTAACAATAGTAATGAAAAGGGAAACAACAAAAAGAGAAGGAATAAATCCCAAGAAACACAAGTGATGCACAACACAGTTGCTCACCACCCCCTGACCGATGCTCAGCCAGTCCCCGAGCAGCAATCAGTCCCTTCTTCCCCCCAGTTTCTATACTGGGCACATGCTGTGGTATGGGATATCCCTTTGGTTAGTTCAGATAAGATGTCCTGTCTTTGTTCCCTCCCAGCTTCTTGTGCCCCTCCTTACTGGCAGAGCATGAGAGACTGGAAGTCCTTGACTTAGGGTAAGCTCTGCTTAGCACCAACTGAAACATCCGTGGTAAGAAGACAAAAGGATGTATGTAATTTCCAGGGGTTCCACCTATAATATATATAATTATGATAGTTTCTTCTTATGAGTTCAAATCCATAGCTATACCAACTTAGAAAAGCAAACCACTCAATAATGCATAAATAGCAAGACTTAATTCCCCCAACAGTTAAGATGTTTTTTGATACTCTATGTAGTAATCTTCCTTGCTGACCAAAATTGAGTACGATGTTTTACCAGATACGTAGAGCAGCACTTTCCGTCCAGTTTTATCTATGATAAGTGCAGCCGCAGCAGTGAAGAACACCTGTATGGAACCCACAACAACAGAAGCCAGTCTGCTGTCCTAAAAGAAAGTAAGAGGGAAGGAGAATTGACTCTTTCAGGCTGGCAAGAGGATCACTTACCAAGCATTACAAACGCATTTGTTACTTGAATCTGAAAGAAGACAAACTATGCCAAAGAAGTTAATGGTGGGAGGAGAAAACAGGGGTTAGGGGGAAAAAAAAAACCCAAACAAAACCCCATCCCCAGTTAATACAACATACAATCCTCTTAATAAACTTTAAAATAAGCCACAACTTCTTCCTATAGTTTCACTGTCTCTGAAACATTGCATTTGCAACTCCAGTGAAAAAATATATATAGGAATATGACTACAATATGGATTTCTATCAGTACCGAAGTTTCAGACTAGCAAAACACAGCATACTTCCCCAACCTCCAACCTCAGGCAGCAGGATCAAGTCATTTGCTGGGTGTTTTAGACTCATTACAGCACTGACTAAGCTGAAACTATTACAGACGTTTGTCAGTTTAGAAGCAGACCCCAGTTACCTTGAAGTTTGCATCTTCAAAGATAGTTTCTGCATAAAACATGACTGCATTAATGCCTGTGAGTTGCTGGAAGAACATCAGAGCCACACCAATAAGAAGCGGCCTGTAGATTGAGGGGTTCTTAAATTCAGACACATTCAGCCCCTGTTAAAAAGATAAAGCAATGATTTGGTGAAAAACTTCATCGTTTCAAAGAACAAAACCAACAAAAAACCTCCTCATAACATTTCTATCTGTTCAAACTCAGTGTTTTACACCCCCCTTTAGCGAAACTAAGTGCCTTAGCAGCAAAAACCTTTACATCTGGAGTACGAGAACTCCAGAAAAGCATTTTTCCCCTTTTCTCAGGTTCTAGGGTCAGAAATAAACAGTACTTTGCAGAGAAAGTTAACATGAATCCACAGCTTGCAGAAACTGAACTTCAATGCCTATTTAAGCATTCACAGGGTCAGTGATGCACAGATACAAGAGAAAATGCATTCATACAACACAAACAACAGGACATTAGCGTCAGAGGTGTGCAGCAAGCCTACACATTGCTAAATAAAGCAAAAAAAGTAAATAGCTCTCATACCAAGATCACGAGCCTGACTGCTACTCTGTGCACTGATGGCAGCCAACAGTGACAGCTGAAAGGCAGAGGAAAAAGACTCAAAGAATCTCACTTGCTTCTTGAGTATCATTTGTCTGAGAGAACAGGTTTGGCTACTGCTTACAGAAAAGTCTATTAACCAAGCATTGATAACTCCAGCTGTTACACCCATACAGAAAGGTGTTTTCAAGAGTAAATGAGATTCTCATCACCTCTTCCTGAACACCAGCTTCAATCTGCTCACACTCCCACTCATGGTCCGCAAGTGGCCCCCGCAGAAAGCGCAGAGCAGCTACGGCCTCCGAGCGCCTGCTCCGGCTCAGCAGGAACCTCGGTGTTTCAGGCATGAAGGACATGAACAAGAGCATTATGCAGGATGGGAAGGAGCACAGCACTGCCAGCCAGCGCCATGGTAGTGCTATTCCTTGGCAATAAGAAGGAAAGAAAGAGGACTGTGAGCATCAGCAAGCTGTACAAGCAAGTTAACATTTACTGTCTTCAGTGCAGTGCTTTCACTGCATGCACTGATTCTTGTTTGTAACCCAGAGCCCTAAGCCCGGTACCTGCAATGTAGGCTCCCAGGATGCCGGTCACCACCATCAGCTGCACACAGGAGCCCAGCATACCACGGACCTTAGGATGGGATATTTCGGATATATACACCTAAAGCAGAGGGAAAAAACGTCCAATAACAACTTGTAGCCAAGTCGGGATCAAGGGCTTGAGAAGTCATTTCTGGAACACCCCTCCCCCAACACAGAAATAAAGAAAATAAAATAAAAAAACACCCAAAACCCCCACCCTGCAGGGAAAAAATAAAGCCTAAAAAAAAAATAAAAAAAAAATCCAAACTGAACCCAGGGGAAAGAAAAGGGGGGGGGGGGCACAAACACACCCACACACCCCTTCAGAAAAAACCAAAAACCACAACCCCGGGGGGGGACGGGGGTGGGGGAAAAGGGGGGTACAAAACCAAAAAAAAACAACAACGGGCGGGGAGAGAAAAAAAAAAAAAGAGCAGGGAAAACAAACGGGGGAAAAAGGGGGGGAGGGGGCGGAAAAAAAAAACGGAAAAAAAACCCCAACAAGCCACCCAAGAAACACAAATCTCACAAAAAAAAACCAACCCTCAAACCTCGCAGCTGCATTTCCCTCCCTCTTTAACGAGGGCCCCAGGCAGAGGCGCAGGCAGAAAGGTGCCCCCTCACTAATGGGTAGCGGGGCTGCAGAAAGCGCTGTGAAAAAGGGAGGCACTAAGGCAGGAGCTCCTGATGCAGCGCCCCTTCCCAAAGGTGAATGAGCTGGTATCAGCAAGAGCTGCTTCACATCATGAAGCATGACCATGAACAGCATCCACCATCTGGGATCAACCTGAACTTTTCTGCTATCTTTTAATACATTGACCCCAAGCCAACAGCTACAGTTTAGCTGTATGCATAAAAAATGAAATTCTTCATATTTTTAATGCATATTTCTTTCATACAACTCTTTGTAAAGTCACAGTTCTTACTCCTGCACAGACAATAAGTAATCCCCATTTCAAGAACAGCTACAAATACTTGGTGTTACAGATGACACTGCCCCTTCAACACTGCAGTCACACTGAAGGAAGCTGCAGGATATAACTCTGGTAGAACATAACCAGAAGCAATCCAATAAAGCTCTACTAACAGATCACATCACTGTGCCAGGAATGCACAGCACAGAAGTGCCACTAGAAGAAACTAAATTTGTTTTATTTTGGATTTCCTGATGATTAAAACCAAACTAAATCTGATTCTATAGAAATCAGTTTCTTCCAAACCCACAACTTGCCTTGGGCACAGTTACTCAGTTCCTTCACCCAATCCACCTATAACACTGCTATGGAAAAAGAAACAAAAAGGCCCACAAACACACACAAAAGCAGCCACGGATGCACAGAGCCCAGCAAAACTTCTTACCGGCACAACAAGTGAGGTAACTCCACTGGCTAAGCCTGTCAGCATTCGTCCAAGGTAAAGCATCCAAACATTCTGAGCAGATATAATAATTGTAAACCCAAAAACGTATGGCACCGAGCACAGCATTAGACTCAGCTTTCTCCCCACTTTATCCACCAGATAGCCTCCTAGTATTCCTCCAGCAGCAGCTCCTAATGTTACTACTGACTTCAAAAATAAGTAAAAAAGAAATATTGTTATACATATGTGTAAATAAATATAGAAATAACAGCAATTGCTTTTAACGTGCAGAAAAGTACCAACAGCTCCTACAAACTGTGCAAGAATATGCAGGTGTTTTGAAAATCAAAATAGACATTAACTTCTTAATCAAAACCTAGTCCAGCAGCACCGCTCACCACAGCGAACAGTGAGCGCATTTCACATCACATACAAAGCTCTTTCAATTTACTGTAGTGACAGGACAAGGGGTAATGGGTTAAAACTTAAACAGGAGAAGTTTAGATTGGATATAAGGAGGAAATTGTTTCCTGTTAGGGTGGTGAGGCACTGGGATGGGTTGCCCAGGGAGGTTGTGAATGCTCCATCCCTGGCAGTGTTCAAGGCCAGGTTGGATGAGGCCTTGGGTGATATGGTTTAGAGCGAGGTGTCCCTGCCCATAGCAGGGGGGTTGGAACGTGATGATCTTAAGGTCCTTTCCAACCCTAACTGTTCTATGATTCTAATTAAGAAAAAGCCCAGAAGCAGCAGAAATTGATTCACAAAGCCATCTTTCCCAAACAGGCCTTTCAAACTGATTTAAAGTCCTGAAGAATTCATTATATTGACTAACATGAAGTCTGCAAATACTCCCCATGTTATGGATGGCACTAATTCATTAACAAGCTTATTTCCTGGGGTCTCTTAACAGGTTCAACTGAGAAACATGAGAATAGTTAGAGGGCATTTAAGTCCAAATAACAAGGATATGCATTCACAGAATCAACTCGACTGGAAAAGACCTTTAAGATCATCAAGTCCAAGCATTTCCCAGCACTGCCAAGGCTATCACTAGGTCACTGAGTACACGCTGTGTGAGCACTTGCAGGGACGGTGACTGCAGCCCTGCCCTGAGCACCCTCTGGGGAAGGAGCTGTTCCTAATATCCAATCTAAACCTGCCCTGGTGCAGCTTGAGGCCGTTTCCTCTTGTCCCAGGCCCTGTTCCTTGGGAGCAGAGCCCAGCCCTCTCCTGGCCCCAGTCCCCATTCTCTTTCCAAGGTAGTTGTAGAGAGTGTAAGGTCCCCCCCCCGAGCTTTTTCTTCTCCAGAGTGAACCCCGCTAGTTCCCCTAGGTTCCTGTCATCAGTCCTGTGCTCTAACATACGTGCTAACAGAGCATTTTCCTCTGGGAAAATTCGAGCCACTCACCGAGATCAGGAAAAAAGATGCTAGATTTCATCAAGATCCGCATTTACCCTCATTCTTAAGAGGAATAAGACCCCACCGTATAAGCAGCATCTTCCTGACCCATGCCTTCAAGTGAACTCACATCATCACGTAGGGACTTACCCCAAACCACGAGGCCTGATCGCTGTCCAACCTTAGCTTAGGGTCGTCGATTCTCCTCAGCTCTGGGATAACCGGTGAGCTATAGCCTAGCACGAAGCCAAAACTAAGCGGTCCCAGGACAGCAGCGAAGGCGGCCAGGTACAGCTTCTTGTTCCGCACTCTGAGGCAGGAGAGGCCCACAAGGATCACGCCGCTCCCACCTCCCGCTTCGGCCCCGGCCCCAGCCCCTCAGGAGGGCCCGGCCCCGCTCGCCCCATGGCCGCCAGCGCTGCCCCTCAGCCCGCCCGCGCTCACCTCGGGTCAGGGTCCGGAGCGGGGTGACCCAGCAGGGAGCGGGACTCCTCTGCAGCCATGGCCGGCGCCGGCCGCTGCTGCAGGGGCAGGCGGTACGAGCCAGGGCCCCGGCGCGGCGCTGCAGGATCCAGCCCCGCCGGAAACGGATGGAGAGAGGCAGCGGGGAGCGATGACGACGCCGAGGTGCGCCGGAAGCTGCCGCGCAAGGAGCGCCGCGGGTCCCGGGCAGCGCCGTCCCTCCGGTACCGGCCGGTTCCCCCGGAGCGGGCCCGTCCCGCCCCTCCTGCGGCCGAGGCGCCAGCGTCGTCCGGGAGCCACCCCTCACCCCGCAGCGAGCGGTGCGGGCCCCTTCCGGCTGAGGGAGCGATGGCCGCGGGGAAGCCCCAGCCCATACCGGGCTCGGGGGGGCCGTGGCGGCTGCCGCCTGCTGAAGGACGCCCCGCTCCTGACCGGTACCTGAGGTGAGCGCCGCGGCCCGCGGGGCTCGGGCGAGCAGGGGGGCAGCTGCCGGCACCCGCCTCGGCCGAGCCTTTTGCGTGCGGAGGTGCCGGGGAGCGGGCGGGGGAAGCGGAGCGCGGCACCGAGGAACGAGCCTTGTGCACGGAGCTCGGCACCGGGGCCTCACGGCAGCGCTTGAGCTCAGTATTGGCTTCCCGCGCTGAGCACGGCAGAGCCTTTGAGCTCACCTACGTTTAGTTCGGAGGGAGCCCGATAGGAACGTGTGTGTGTGTGTTTTAAAGCGAGCCCGTGCCGCTTAGCACAGCCGGTCTGTTCTCTGCCCTATGTGCTGAGCACAGCCGGTCTGTTCTCTGCCCTGTGTGCTGAGCACAGCCGGTAAGTGCTGTCGGCTGTAGGAGCTGCTGTACGAACTTGCGACCTGACAGAAGCGCCTGTTTCAGTGCGTTTGAGCCCCAGCACCTTCTTGTGCGCTTATCAGCAGTGCGTGTCCTGTGCAGCCGTGCATAGCAGAGGCTGCACTTGCTGTTCTACTGTGCCACGTTAAGAGGTGCACTCTTAAGATCTCACTCTATGAAGGTAAAAAGTATGTACAGAAATAGACACAACACAGACTCCCATTCAGATTCCTCAGTTCTTTGTGTTTGGGAGCCTCTATGGATCAAATTCAGCCAGGCTAATGAACAGAATTAGATCTCCCAGGGAAAAGAAAATAGCTATGGCTTTGTAACTTGCCTGATGTTTGGCTTGTCCAAGCTTATTGTAGGAACTTCAGTACTGCAAATGCAAACAGATTGTGTAGGTCAGGAGGTGGCATTTCAGACCTTCAATTTCAAAGTTAATTCTTTTCATTAAAAATAACCTGGTAAAATAGGTAAACCCCCCCAACTGAACAGGAATTAAAAGAAATAAAAGTGTTTAAGTCAAAGCAGTGCAAACACGTCAAAAGTGATCTTAGACCAGCATAATCTATAGTCCTTACACAAGCCAACTAGAAAGATGGCCAACATATCCTTCAACAACACACTCTGTATCTATTCTGCAACTTCATTTTAAACACAAAGTTACCTGCTTTGTCTTTAAAATAGTTCAGGACAGAGGTATGAATAAGTTCTGTCAGCAGTGAGCGCATCACTCTGCTTATAACGCTTTGCTTTCTTCCATTTACCAGTCTTATCCATCAGTAAACCATAAGACAGTGCTGATTATGGGCAGTGTCCCTGCCCATGGCAGGGGGGTTGGAACTAGATGATCTTAAGGTCCTTTCCAACCCTAACTATTCTATGATTCCCTTTGCTTTAACAGGTTTTAAACCAACCCTTACCTTACTGGATTCTGGATTTGAAAGTGTTAACCTAGAACAAGAAAGCTGTTACCATTCGTAACGAACACCAGCATTCACTAGCTCCATACAGTTCACTTCTAGGTCTGATGTGGGACAAATGATAGTTGAGAGTGAATGCAAATGGTTAATCCTGGTCTAATGTATATCTTAAAATGCGTTTGGTAACTTCTGCCTGTGTGTTAACATGCCATTTGGAATACTGATGTACCAGTAATAAAGATGTGATGCTTACCTTGTTTTCGGAACAGAACTAATACAGTATTTTGATGTATCACAGGTAAATTTTTCCATAACCTTATGGAGAAAAAGGACTTTGAAGCATGGCTTGATAACATTTCTATTACATTTCTTTCTCTGACGGACTTGCAGAAAAATGAAACTCTGGATCACCTGATTAGCTTGAGTGGAGCAGTCCAGCTCAGGCACCTCTCCAATAATCTAGAGATTCTCCTCAAGAGGGACTTCCTCAAACTTCTTCCATTGGAGCTTAGTTTTTATCTGTTAAAATGGCTTGATCCTCAGACTTTACTCACATGTTGCCTCGTCTCTAAGCAGTGGAACAAGGTTATAAGTGCCTGTACAGAGGTGTGGCAGACTGCATGTAAGAATTTGGGTTGGCAAATAGATGACTCTGTTCAGGATCCTCTACATTGGAAGAAGGTTTACCTAAAGGCTATTTTAAGGATGAAGCAACTGAAGGACCACGAAGCCTTTGAGACATCCTCTTTAATTGGACACAGTGCCAGAGTATATGCACTTTACTATAAGGATGGACTTCTGTGTACAGGTAGGAAGGACAGAAAACTTCGAGTCTAATATTTGTCACCTCCTCATATGATTAATGACAGTTTGCTTTCCCTTTACCAGATTACTTCCATAGTGCCGACACAGGTTAAGATGATGCAACATTAATTCTTTTTTTTTCCCTGGTTTCTGTAACCCCTGGCACACCAACAGACCTAGTAGTTAACTTGAGCAGAAAAAAAAGGAAACCAATTTCTTTGTTGGCTCAAAAGCCATTAACAGCAGGTTTTGTGCTTCAGATTTGAGAAGATATGTTAGTTCTCTCAGGGGGTAACTTCCAGTTAAAGGAACCTTGTTTGGGCTATGTGATTGCTGCAGTCTCGTAAGGTGTGGCAGGAAAAGGCTGTTTTCTTCCTTGAAACAAGACAGTTTCTCCGATACAGTCTGTAAGCACTTTCAGTTTTTAACACAAGAGCTTGTATGAAGACATGTAGCATTTAAACTTGGTACTAGACTGACTTGTAATAATAATTTCAGCTTCCTCCCTGAAGATTGCAGACTTCAAGATTTCAGTTTGAACTTAAAAATACATCCAGAACACATTCGAAACCTTAAATATGGAAAAATAGTAACTAAGGTGCTGCCAGAGCATATTCAAAAAAGCAAATAAACTTTGGGGACAGGAAACTCCATGGCACCAGTATATGCTGGGGGCCACCCAGCTGCAAAGCAGCTTAGCAAAAAGGACCAGAGGGTCCTGATGGATACAAAGTTGAGGCACCAATGTGCCCTTGCTGCAAAGGCTAACAGTATCCTGGGCTGCTTTAGGAGGAGTGTCGGCAGCAGGTTGGAGGGGGTGCTCCTTTCCCACCACTCAGACTAGTGAGGCTACACATGGAGTACTTTGTCCAGTTCTGGGCTAGAAAAGAGACACTGACACACTGGACAGCCCAACAAAGAGCCGTGAAAGCAAAGAAGGAACTGGAGCATCTTTCATATGAAGAAAGGCTTAGAGGGCTGGGAATTTTTATCCTAAAGAAGAGAGGGCTCAGAGAGGATCTTATCAATGTACATAAATACATGAAGTGAGGGTGCAGAGAAGGAGGAGGCAGGCTCTTTTCAGTGGTGCCCAGTGAGGGGACAAGAAGCAGTGGACACAAACTGAAACACAGGAGGTTCCCTCTAAAATGCTTTTTTTACTGTGATAGTGACTGAGCACAGGTTGCCCAGGGAGATGGTGGAGCATCCATCCTTAGACATATTCAAAAGCCATCTAGTTATGGTCCTGGGCAACCAGTTTGGGTAGGGGGGGTTTGGAAGAGTTGGCCTCCAGGGGTCCCTTCCAGTCATAACCATTCTGTGATTCCATGAAAATTTGAGACAAATGTAGAAGATGAGTAAAGAATAGGAAACGCTGTTTACTCTTTGCTTCCAGTTACCCTGTTCTTTTATATTCTAGGATCAGATGACTTGTCTGCAAAACTGTGGGATGTAAGCACAGGACAGTGCATATATGGTATCCAGACACACACTTGTGCTGCGGTGAAGTTTGATGAACAAAAGCTTGTGACAGGATCTTTTGATAACACAGTAGCCTGTTGGGAATGGAGCTCTGGGGCAAAGACACAGCATTTTAGAGGGCATACTGGTGCAGGTATGTTGAGCTTTTCAAGTTGTAATTTCACCAGTCAAGTAACATACATCCTCATCAAACTAATTATAATGTAAGTTAGCTCTTTGCACAATACCTTTTTCTTTTAGGCTCTGTCCCAAGTCTGTTACTTGCATTTCCCTCATAATTAACTTCTCTGTCCTCTACTGCAAATTACCTTCAACTCAGCTGTAGGTCTGTTCCCCTGTGAGTAATGAGGTATATCAAATGTACTAATCCCACTGGAATTGATTTACTAGAACTCTTAAAATAGGATTTATCTTAAATTATGCTTTGCTGTAATCCAACCATAAAGGAACCACTGATGTACATACTCTTAATTTGGACAAAAATCAGTCATTTTGTGATGTAAGCTTAGGAATCCAGAGCAACCATTCATGTCTACAGTTCAAGAACAATGGTTAAAGCTGCATTAGCGTATGAATTTAGAGGCTACTAAATTCATATAGAGACTACTAGTTAATGTCTTACAGAAAACCATGGGCACAGAGACTAGTCTTCCTCATCAGTACCCTCTCTGCTTGTAGTTTTTAGTGTGGATTACAATGATGAACTTGATATTCTGGTCAGTGGCTCTGCAGACTTCACTGTGAAAGTATGGGCCTTATCAACAGGAACGTGCCTGAATACCCTCACTGGACACACAGAATGGGTCACTAAGGTGGGAATAATGGTTTTCAATTAATCTTGCAAAACACTTGCAGTAAGCTTGTAACATGTTCCAAGTTTCTGTTTCCCAATCCTAACCCTGAACGTAGGTGTCGAATCTCTAGAACTTCAGGAAATACTGCAAAATAGAGCAGAAAAACCACTGAAAGAAGCTGTAATTAAACCTTTTGGACCATTGAAGATACTTCTAGTTCAAAGCAGGTGGAATAACATTAGGAATCAGTTCTTGGTTCAAAGACCGAATAAGAACAATGGTTCTGAAAGAAATCTACTTTAAAAATAATGTAGAAAAACTAAGTTATCGTGATAACCAAAATCTGAGCATGAAAAGTGTTGTGAAGTCAAGAAACAGTATTTTAGTTCAGAGTATTTCAGAACTGGAAGATGGGGGGGGTCGTTCTAGAGGTGATGTACATATGTTTGCTTATTAATAAAGTTGTCACTAGTAGGAACAAGAAGAGTGTAAAGTGTAGGTTCCCTTCACTAGTTAAAAGTATTATAATTGCCTTTATACAAGAGTACAGAATGCAGGTTGTCAATTAAATGAGAAATGTAAATGAAAGTCTGGTTATTTAACAGCATCAACATAAATCATTACATCCTTCAATTACAGGTAGTTTTGCAGAAGTGCAAAGTCAAATCTCTTATGCATAGTCCTGGGGATTATATTCTTCTAAGTGCAGATAAGTATGAAATCAAGGTGTGTACCGTATCTCATACATACATAATTTCAGTACTGAGAGAAATGCTTGAGTGCTTTGCTGGAGTTTACAAATAATATAAAGCTTTATTTTCTCCTGCATTCCCTGCTTGTAAAGTTGTGTACAAGACATGCAGCTCTTTGGAAGCTAACCTTTCAATGCTTTCCTTCACATTTAGATTTAAATCATAGCTCTACATGAATGGTAATGAAAAAAACAAGTGCTTTCAGTGCATGCTTAATGTGCTGTCTTGACAGCAAAGCACTTAACTGCAAGTACTGTTACGGCTGGGGACTTTTGGGTGGGAGAGTGCTGTAGTTTGTGGCTATGGATGTGCTTCACAACTGAAACACATTTTTGTCCAATTGGATGGTTGATTTGTTCTTTAAAGTGCTCATTTTCATTGGGGTTTTTTAGGCTAGAAACATCACATATTGCAACAACACTGTAAGATGAGTCACAGAACTAATGTTCCTCCCTAAAGGAAATAAGTACTTCTGAGAAAACATGCACACATTTACCTGATGCTTAAAGAGAGACTGTGAGGCTTGCTCTGCCTAACTTTATAACAGGAATGTTTTATGGCCTTAAACTCTGTTTTAATTGTAGATTTGGCCTATTGGAAGGGAAATAAACTGCAAATGCTTAAAAACACTGTCTGTTTCTGAGGATCGCAGCATCTCCCTACAGCCCAGGCTGCACTTTGATGGCAAATACATAGTGTGCAGTTCAGCCCTAGGATTATACCAGTGGGACTTTGCCAGCTATGATATTCTCAGGTAAATCTTTGTTTAAGACTTAGTCATCTTTAAATAAGAAGTAGAATACATTTCTAGTTCTATTTAAATAAATGAGAAGTGGAACATACTAGTTTTAATAATTTTAGATATAGGCTGAATATTGGTGAGAATTCTGTAAACATCTTTCTCTACACATACTGCCAGGTTTAATTCTAGTTTACCAGCTGTTAATACGATGTTGTCTTGTCTTCTAGGGTTATCAAGCCTCCTGACTTCTCAAATGTTTCCTTGCTGGGCTTTGGAGAGATATTTGCTCTACTGTTTGATAACAGATACCTGTATATAATGGACTTGAGGACAGAAAAACTGATAAGCCGCTGGCCTCTACCAGAGTACAGAAAATCTAAGAGAGGCTCAAGCTTTTTGGCTGGTGAAATGTCTTGGTTAAATGGACTTAATGGACAAAATGACATGGGCTTGGTTTTTGCCACCAGTATGCCAGACCATAGTATCCATTTGGTGTTATGGAAAGAACATGGCTGAGACACTCACATGCGCAGCATCTTCAGGAATCTATGGACTATCAGCAGCGTGTCCATAAAACAAGACTTTGCATGAACCAAAGTTGCACACCTAATGGCATCATCATGCAATGCACAATCATTTACTTTTATTTGGGCATTTGGGAATGGGTTATTTTGGACATAATGCAATGCAGCATGCCAGCAGTATTCACCACAAAATTCTGTCTGTACTCATGTTCAAACATACCTATTTGGGCTCTGGAGCATAGCTTGTAACATTTAAACCATTCAAATCCACCATCAAGATTGAAATGAAGTAGTGCTTGACCTGACTTCTGATCTATTTTTTGATGTTGAAACAGGAGGTGAAGCTACTATTTTAGAACCATAGGCTTGTGTACATGTAACAGCAAATACTGGTTACAGTGCATGGCTGCTCACTGCAAATGGGAAGACAGCAAACCATTCCTTTTTCCAACATCCTTCTCTTCAAAATGTTTTTTCCTAATGATAGCTTTAAATACTTAGCCTTTGAAATAAAGGAATCAAGTGAGTCCTTTAACTAGGATCAGATGCTAACTATAATAATTTAAGTTTGGGAACATGTCAATATGAACTCTCCTCAGTGAGAATGAGCCACCTTTTCATCTGTCTGATAGAGCTTGCCATCACAATTAACCTTAGAGAACCTCTGAGTATTCATCATATTTGCTGATGGTAACTCAGAATGACTTGACCAGTATTTTATAGGCCACATTTCCTATAGTTTGTGTGAGAACGTAATTTAGTTCACAGGGAGGTAGAAATCTGATGAATGAGAAGATGATATTCAGTCTCTACAGCATCACTCTCTTACACTAAAAGATGTCTAGCAGCCGTTCATTCTTTCCAGACATTACATTTAAGATAATCCTGCACTTCAAGTAGTTGCTACATCTAGATTTGGAAAATGGGGGCAAATAACAGTGAGAATGCCACATCTCGGGGGGAAAATAAGTTAAAGTCTGAAGAAAAGCAAAGGAGTAGGAAAAGGTCTTTTGCTTTGATCATCATAGGAGACCTGATGTACACACCAGTTAACTACTGAGTAGCAAATGCCTGTCAACATACTTTTGTGGTATTTGACATGTACTTAAAAGCTGTATCTATGACAACATCTGGTTTAGAAATGCTTTAGGTTGGTTTCCCCTCCTCCCTTACAATAAACGTCCCCTTAATGTCTTTCTTTGTTTTCACAACTTGAAAACATGCGTTTTCATGAAGATTGGCTCAAATCCTTGAAAAGCTGAAACTACCCAAACTGCCTGGCATTACTGTTGCGTGAGTTTTTTTCTTCCCACTATCCAAGGAAACCTAATTCCATACTTGGCACTGAACAAAGGCCAATGTTCCCAAATGTATACAGCATAAATTACACCAATGAAAGGGAAATTCTTACATGAAAGAGTAATCATTTGGGTGATGCAGTTGGAATTGTATGAAGTCACAGTGGAGCAGTGTCTCTTGAATACAATGCTAGTCTCAAGTAACTGTTTTCCACCTTTATTCACATGAACTTACTTTTCAAATGTGTTTGTTGTGAAGGATTTTACCCACTGGAAGCCAAATTCACAGCCTTCACTGACTGGGGCACTAATGAGCTTTTGTCTTCTCAGTTGAAAGTGAAAGCTTACATGAAACAGGTTCAATCACTTTCCTTGAAACTCAGTTCTCATTCTTAATGTGGGTGTAACTATACCGTGTATGATGGGGGCTATAACTCAGTTAACTCTAAAGGAGCCATGCGATGATGGACCAGCTGTAAAATACTGTAAACCACTTACTGGAACTGTTCTTTAGGGGCTAGAACTGATAAATTTAATAGTGACCTTTATGATGCAGTCTCTCAGCAAGTTTCCAACAATACTGATTTATTTGGAGGGGAAGGGGAAACCACAGGAAGAAGCAGCAATCAATATGCAAGAGAACAGGGAATCCTAATTCTGAGCTTCTCAACAAACTGGACAAGTAGGCTGACAGACATCTCATGAAGTTTAGCCAAAGCAACTCCTTCACCCGAGACACAGTCATCCCACACAACAGGCAGGTTGGAGCCAACTAGATGTAAACCAGCTTTACAGGAAAGGACCTGGGAATGCTATTTCACAACAAATTTAGCAATATGCCTTGTGACAAAGGCGTCTTAACTACACTGAGCTGTACTAACACATAGATAGCGAGACACCAAAGAGAAGGGATTCTTCACCTCTGTTCTGTGCTCAAAGCCACACCCAAGTCCAATGTTGAGTTGCCCAGTACCAAACACTGACATACACAAGCAAGTCCCATGAGGGGCAGAGCACAAAGCATCTGAGAGCTAAATTCAACTTTCCAGAGAGCATGGTGGGAAGGGAAAGTGGTGGTAGGCATGGGGGGGAAGCATTATCCAGAGGATACAAGCAGAAAACCATAATGAGAAGCATTCAGTACACACAATGTTGCTCTTCTACCCGTTTAGCTTTACAAATGGAGTTGTAGCCTGTTACATAGCAGCTGATGATTGTTATAAACACAATTAGCAAACAGTTACTTTACAGACTGTCTCTTGAAGACATCCAAGTGAAAGTTCCACTGGACATCTGCAAGCTAATGATACTAACCCACTAATGACAGCTGAAAACAAATGAAAACATGACCTTGGTGTTGAAATTAAACCAAGCATAGCTGCTCTCACGCACATTTGTCACATATCAGTATCAGACTACAACTGCCCCCGGATGTCCCCTCATAGGAATGTTCTAATACATTACACCATCAGTACAATGCACACAGCATTTAAAAACCAGAAACTGAACTTGTGAAACTACAGTGAACAAATAGGTTTTGTTTGCTTTTCTGTCCTCCTGACCCTTTGGCAGAAGTTAGTAACTACTTGACACTGTTTTTAGATAAGGGTTGGAAAAGATGCAGTTTCTGTACCTTTACACCTACATAAGGAAACAATATAATTTAACTTACCCATCACATGAAGGTCTAAAATCCACCTGGCGTCTGACTTTCATGAAGAAGCAGTTTGTTAGAAGGCTTCAAAGTCACAGAAAAAGAAAGCAACTGTTACATACCATAAGTAGTTGTTCATCCATCCATCTTTCTGCCTGGAAACAGCCACCTTTTCAGTTCAGTTTCTTCAACATCAGTCTGTAGCCCTTGCCTCTGTTTTAAAGCTTTCCAACATGACTCAACGCTTATCACTTAAGTAATTCACAACAGCTGTGGGCAACAAGAGGGATCACCATTCTTAAAATCACATGTGTCAAAGCACCAGCTGAGCAGCCATTCCAATCAGCAGAACTCCAACAGCTATGCTTAGTGTTACGATACATCACCACTTCAGCAAACTAGTTCCAAGAAAATAAAAGGTTCTTTTTTTACAATTGAAACTAGTAGATTGTGCTCAATTACTTTCACAATTTATTAGTTTGCCTTTTACTCAACTTGGCACATAGAAATTCTGTACCCAAACAGTGACATACAAACTGCAAGAATTAAACAACATTAATACTAAAGCCCATAGTTGTTATTTTCTGTACATTGGTTGAAAACTGCACAGCCTTTTGCATTATTTGAATCAGCTGAGAAATACTGATTTTTATTTCTTCTTAGTTGAAAATAACCTTATTTTACATTTTCCAGAAGGAATACCATCTGCATTGATGCTTGGTATCATGAAATGACTCATGGCTCTGCTGTGAATTCTCATTTCCCTTAAGAAGAAATACCTCTAACAAGTGACAGCTCCAGTGCTACAGGTGGTGGGTTTGCTTACTCTGCCTTTGTGATTATAATGGGTGAGAGTGTTAATGCTCTTCATCTGGGAGATGCTGTCCCAAGCCATCTTTTAAAAGGCACCATTAAACACAGCTGTATTTTGTTAACCACCAAGTCCTTCGGAGACAAATAACCAAAACTCAATTCCTTCTTCAGGAAGTTTACGGGTTCATTGTACAAATTAAAATGCAGGAGGATAGGAACAGGAAAAGAGAGAAAGCTGGAAATTGGTAAATTAAATTTCATATTTATGCATGGACATTTCCTATATCTGGAATAATGCCCTTTCACAGTTATAGGCATGTAAAAGGGCTATCCTCTCACGATGCCTCATCTCTCACATCTTAAAAGGTTGCTGTAGACTTTACCTGAGGAACTCAGTCATTAGTCAGCATTTGATCACTGTGGACTCTTACAAGGTACCATGCCACAGTTCAAATATCAAATGCATTTACCTTCCTACAACACATTAAAAGGCTGTTAGTCTAAATCTCTGTAAGATTTAAACTTCACATGGAAGTGAATTTCTATTTTATTATATCCTCTGCCTCCCCACAGCACAGGCAGCTCTTCACTTTCCCTCCCTATAACTGAGGTTTCACTTTTGAGCTTACAGTACAGTCTGATGTAGAACCTTGTTAACATTCGTAATTAACGATGAGTTGTATTTCCACAGTGTTGTATCCCTGATGAGGGATTTTGTGGGAAGGTTTGCTTGAAGGGGCTTCCGACAGTGATAAATGAGGGCAACATCCATGGGAACATTCACACTGTTCCCATAAGCATGGAGGACAGAGTGGACTGAAGTCTGAATCACTTTTCGTGGATCAACTATCATTTTCTTGGGATTTATTACATCCTTCCTGTCAGGCTCCCTGTGAACATGGTCTAATATGTTAACACCTGGCACAGTATTCCAGGATGAGATGTTGAACATGGGAGTGGAGACGGATTCTGGGAAGATATGGTTCTCAAAGAGGAAAACAGCGGTCCCTGGGTGCTGTTCCTGCAGGCTGCTCATCATGGTTTTCCAGTCTGGGTGCTTAAGGGGAAGAATTATTTCATCAGCATCAGTAAGAACCACAAACTTGCTCCTCTGCATATTACGGTATACACAGTCGTTTAGAGCTGTGATTTGTCCATAGTAGCCAATGTGTGTTCCATCATGCACGAAGTGCCATTCAGAAGAAACCCTGAGGTGCGAGTTTATTGGCCAGGGAATTATCTCAACAGTTCCTTCTTCCATATATAACCTCAAGACTTTCTCCATCAGGTGGCTGCAGTTGTTCTTGTAGATCACCACTTTCTGTACCCCAAGAATCTTGTACATCTCCATGCTCTGTATAAACTGCAAGACATTGTTGTAGTGGCCAAACATGGCAGAGATGCACACAGTGAAGTCAACAGGGAAGGGCTCAGGTTTGCGGTTTTTGATCTCAAAGCTTGGCAGCTGGTCAATATTTCCAAGTGGAGACTGGTGAATGGACACATGCGTTGGGTCGCAGTTTTCAGGTTCCAAACAAAC